ACGGCTGATACTTTAAATCCTATTGTGATTTAAAACATTTCGCTTCACAGATTTCTGAAAGCTCGGTGGTGTTCTATGATGGTGTGAGTTTTTAATTGCACTATTGATAAAATTTAATTATATAACTGTATCACAAACACGATTTATGGAATGATGGAGAATGCATTAAATAACCAAATGGATGGTGCATGTGAAATTATATCAGAGAATTATCTGTTATTATATTTTCTGGTGTTATATGGCTTAAAACTTGTCTGGCTTCAGACTATTGGGAGAAATTGAAGTTATTTTTTGTTATTATTTTCAATTGAAATCATTATTGCATTTATAAATAACAATTTTCATTTCAGTGTTAAAATAAAATAATTATTAAACAGTAAATTTCATTATTTTTGTCCTGCTAAACTTTTTTCCTGAGAGATTCACATGAACTTTATACCCAGTTTTAGAATCTGTTCACCCGTCAGAGATTTAATTCTACGCAGGTTAAAGATTCTTTAAACAATTTTCAAAATGTTTGACCTTTCTTCTCCAGCCTTTAAAATGAAAATCAATCTGTATCGTTAATGCAGATTGATATCACAGACACACAGTTTCTGTCTGCACTTGGTAGTTCTAAGTTCCAAAAAATCTTTTACAATTGAACAAAAATCTGCATTTGTTTAGAAACACTGACAGAAATCTTGCATCGATTTTGATTTGGCCTTGGGCTGTAGAATCCGAGTAAGTTTGATCGAGAAACAACATACATTTGACTGAAGACTGACGTTGGATTGATTTTGATCGGAGGAGGATGCCTCCTTGTTTGTTTTGACAGTGACTGGGTACTGAGAACAATCGCTGATTGATTGTGTATTGGATGTTCATTATATTCTGATCCACTCACATACAATACATTGACGGATAATAATTTGTGGTTAAGTGCTTGGCTTGGGATTGTGTTCTAATGAATTGGTTATCGTACTGTACAGTGTATATATATATATATATATATATATATATAGGGATCCAGACTTCTGCTTAATTCCGTTTTGTTGATTTTTTTGTACATTAAGTCTCGATGATTTATGAAGATTGCTTCATAACATGTATACAGTGATCATCTGGTCTTATCCAGGTTTTGTTGATAGATTTCGGTCTTGTTTTATATTGATTTGTGAACGATTTCCTCGTGTGTGCAATCTGGAGTTAAGTCATAATCAATAGTTTGAGGAACACGTTATTTTGCGGTTATGTTCCGAGGACTTTAATTTAGACATTTGTACCGTGATTAGGATTTCAGTGTCGGTAATGGAACGACTGATTATTTAATTGTGATTGATTTTGATAATATAACCTGTTAATATCACCAGGGGATTATATATGAAGGAAGATTTTTTAACCGTTCATTTGTCAACTTTTTTGCAATCTAATCAAAATCATATCTTCACATCGCTCCCGTTTACCGATATGTCGCGTTGAAGCCACATATCAGTAAACGGGAGCGATGTGAAGATATAATTTTAATTAGATTGACTTTTTTGATAACATTTTTCCATAGATGCATGATGATCATATGATGTATTTTGAACGAAAATTTTCCGATTTATCTTGGGATTTGTGTGTACGTGTGTATTGGTTGATGAATTCATGATCAGCATATAGTACATGATCAGGTAACATCTGGTCCATACAGGGCCGTTTCTGTACACGATACCCAACTGGTGATTGGTACAGGGATACCTATGTCGGTGAGCAGCCATTTTCCCCAGGAAGGTGTTTTTCATCATCATGGTTTTATGTGGATTTGCAGTTCCTGTTTGATTTTTCTGAACTCTTCTGGATATCCTGGATTATTGTGTGGAAAGGATTAAGTTTTCTTTAAACCAACAAGAGTTTAAAATGATAGATTTAATATGCTATAGCTAGCTATAAGTCCTTTAGAGGAAATATTTACGCAGGTTTTCAGGGACTAGAGACACTTATAGGTTCAAAAGATTTACCGGTAATATTTTAGGTCCATAAGGTTTTATCTCACTCACCCCTAAAATTTCATAAGGAACTATTCCAACCTTTGAATTGGGAGGGTTCAAATGTGTCTTCAGGGGTGACTGAGTTATACGTTATTATATACTGGTAGTGTGTAAAAGGAAATGGTCAGGTGGATTCAAAAACTGGAAAGAGTCTAAAAGGTTTCAAATAGGTCGTAAGATTTGGTGCACTGTTTATGAAGGACTGTCATGTTTTCTTGGGACCATTAAGTACTTTATATATAGCTCCATAACATAACATTTGGTGATTTAGAGAAAACAGTCCGGCATATTCAGGGGTTGGACAATTGTGTTATAGGTCCATAAGATTTGGTGGTACTAGAAGTAATGGTCAGGGTCCTGGGGACCAAAGCACTATATATGTAGATGTTGATTCAGTAAAGCCGCTAAATATAATGTATGTATTACTTGTTTGATATCCGAAATTTTAATGCTAATTCTTTACCTGTTTTCTGTCATGTATTTTGTTCAAACCTCCTATTCATCAGTGGTTCTTTCCTTTCCAAAATTTTCACAAAATATCTTGTCTTTCTCTATGTATCTTATCTTTCTCCCTTTATTTAGTCCTTAATTCTTCTTGTAGCTTAATTCTTTTCTCTGCAATATAATCTTATTCTTTTTTCTCTGCTATATCTGGTTCCTAACCTCCCGACCCCTGACCCGCAACCCTGACCCCCGACCCCCCGACCCCCCGACCCCCCTGACCTCCATGCTCCGGTACCGTCGTTCAGATCATGCTGCTTCTTTCGTCTTCAGTTCTCCCTTAAATCTTGTTTTCCAAAATAATTACTTTCTAATTAGCACAAAACAATCAATTAGTTACAGTATTATACCACTTAACTGTGTACAGTTATATTAATGGCAGAGAATTTGTTATCCGAGGCATTGTATTATTCTAAGTACACTACACCATTGGTCAATTTCACATGATATCACCAGAACATAAAATGCTACACTTTATGTCCATAAACAATGTACAGACAATCAATAACTAATGCTCTTCCTGCTTTTTATGGAGGATGAAGTTTTTGTTTCTAATCAATATATATGAAACAAAATTTGTCCGATGGTGATTCTTCATGGTTTACGGCAGTTTTCAATCCTCTTCCCATGGAAATGAAATGTGTTTTAATGTGACGGGAAGTGGTTTGATCATTTGATTATTATACATCAGCCTCCGAGTTTCTGGGTTACAACATCGTTTTGGAAATAATGGTCGATAAAGCACAGCTTACGATTTCACATACATGATTCGTTGGTACATATGTGTGCTGGAATCTCAGAGGAATGCTATTTGCAGTTTTATCCAAGGTAATTCGGAGGTAACAATCATCTGATTTACATATTATGTTTACAATGTACTTATATATATTTTTTTCCTTTTCCATACACATGCTGATATTTACATATAATGCCATATATTATGTCCTAATATTAGTAATAACAAACTCATATACATATGTACTGTGAAACAAAATGAACTCATATACTGTAAACAATTTTTGAGTGTTCTAATTTTCCAGATTTTTGGGGTAACATTGATGACTTCTCCAAAATAACTCACCTCTCAAAATAAATAAAAAAATGAATCCATCCTTACCTATCATTTTGTGACATGACTATTACACCAAATCAGTCCATGAAGAAATTGACCAATTTACCGAATCCGTGAAAATTAGGGACTTTGAAGAAAGAAAAAAACGTTTACTGTACTCTAACAGGCGTGCATCTCAACTTTTTGTGAAGAAAGTAAAGAAGTTCTTAGCCCATAAAAGTAACTCTGCATAGATATAAATGATAACCATTTTACAGTTTAATTTTCAAAACATGTTTTGTCAGGTTTTCTTATAATGGCATACAGAGTTGATTTAGTTGTGTGATAAGATAGGGAGCAGATATTTTCAACATATAACTTTAAATGAAGTATATACATATACATATAACGTAGTATATTGCCTATTTATCTTTTAATTATTCATGTATAATTATGTATATATAACAAAATGTACAGCAGCATACTAAACCAGTAATATCTTGTTTTATTGTCATTAAGAAAATCGCTACAGTTTCTGGTCCAATTTACATTAAAAACAAGATTTTTTGTTTTGCTGTGAAAATTTTTGTAACATATTCTTTGTCACATTTCTATGTAGCGTGATAAATACTTAATTAACAATTAAGACATTGCTGCTCTAGAAGTTACGGACCAATATGAACTATGCAATAGTAAAAAAAGATAAGTATGTTTCTTGAAGAAAATTTAATGTAGTAATAAGGTTTTGTATGAGAAGGCCACTAAATTAAAGTGAAAAAAGTATCCACATATATATATTATCAATATGTGGAAAATATGTGAATATCCTTAATTCGAAAGAAATCTAAAAAAACATCGGATTCTTTGTTGAGCTAACAGAGTGGAAATGATATATTTATATAAATTAAATTTAGACTAGTAGAAGGGAAAATAATGACACTGACAGTTGGATATACCCCTTACATACGCCTAAGTCTATTTGGGAATATGGCTGCTATACATTCAGAGGTATTAATATCATTTGAGTAACACAGATAGTGTATTGTAATTTTTTTTTCAAATAATTTAATGAATTTATAAATTTGACATGTAACATTCAACCAGCAGCATCAAAAATATACAAAGCTCATTAAATAGAGACCTGTAGGAATGTACAGCCTTAGACCCTGCCCTGCCCCCATAAAAAAAAAAAAGATCTTACATGAGTTTCCATTTCATATGATATTTATGAAACAGGTCTAAGAATTTTTCAATTTAGTGAGCCTCTGGCTTTATAAAGTTAACAATAAACATAAGAGTAAAAGCCTCTGAAAACCCCCCGAAGGTACAGTAAAAAACCCAGTTTATGATCAATTGTTACTTTTAAAGTTGTGTCAGCGTAGTTAAACATTAACAACTAGCATCACTCCTAAAGTATGGTGTTTTATCTTCTGTAGGACAATAGTGACGATGAACTATCACTGGCCAACTCCCAGATGGAAACAAGTTCCAAAAAGGACCTGGAAAAAACACAGTCCTCAAACAAATCAACACCTGCCAAAGGTCGCAAGCGTCGTAAACAACGGCACGACTGGGAGATCGTGGAGGGATTACGTGACGGCCACAGGTGTGAAGAAAAACCAGAAAAGTACCAGGGATACATGCTGAAGCGTCGACGATGGCCAATGAAGGGCTGGCACAAGGTAAAAATGTCCAGGCTTTATGTTCGTATCACATATATAAAGTTTTAGCAAATACGTCCTCTTACCATCATACATATTACGCAACAGCAGGGTTCACTGCTAACACTAGTCCTCTTAGTACATGTATGTCCAGGACCAGTAGATTTCAGCAAGGACTTGTAAATCACCTGATCTAACTTTTATATTCGGACCTATACAAACACGTTATCACAATATCGTTTGGTATATCGATAATAAAAATAGAACATTCCTTTTGCAAAACTTCACCCTATTTATGTCAGAAGGTATTTGATGTCCCCTAGCTGCAGTTAGTTACTTTTTAGGTCACCTGAGCTGAAATACTGGCAAAGGGATTTCATTAATATTTCATGGGAAGGTTACTGACATATCCCTGACCAAGTGTTATTTTTTGGGGTCACTCAGAAATCCACGGCCGCCTTTTTGAAAAACTATTTCAAACTTAAAGTCAAGTTCTGCCAGGCCGATTGAACTGAAACTTTGTAGGAATGATCGACTCATGGTCCTGACAAATTGTTATTTTTCGGGTCGATCAGAAATCCATTATGGCCGCCACGGTCGCCATTTTGAAAAAACCCAATTTCAAACTTAAAGTCAAGTTCTGCTAGGCCGATTGAACTGAAACTTGGTAGGAATGATCGACTCATGGTCCTGACAAAGTGTTGTTATTTTTCGGGTCGATCAGAAATCAAATATGGCCGCCAGGGTTGCCATTTTGAAAAACTATTTCAAACTCAAAGTCAAGTTCAACTGGTCCGATTGAACTGAAACTTAATAGGAATGATCGACTCATGGTCCTGACAAAGTGTTGTTATTTTTTGGGTCAATCTGAAATTCTTGGACTAGAACAATGAGGCACGGAGGACTAGTAGATAATCTGTTCAACTTGCCCTGTGGACTAGCAAGCGAAAACAGTTGGTGACTAATGCTGGTTAGGGTCAATTCTGTGGTATTTACAACAATGCTTAATATCTGGCAAGGGTGAACGTTTGATCTACAAAGAAACTGGGTGAGATACTGTTGATTTGTAACTCATTCACCCCTACACATCTAAACTGGACTTGCCCGGTCTTTGATTTGGTAAGGTTCAAATGTGACTTTAGGGGTGAATGGGTTAAGTACAGAGTAATATACTTTTCCTATATGTGTAGTGAATGATGAACTTAGTGACCTGTAGCACAGTCTTGGCTTGTTTCTAATCGGCTACTTCAATAATGATTAGGACCGTAAATGAACTGTCTGTGTAGCGGAGGAACGTTCTGGTTTAGACAGGAGTGGGTTTCCTTGCGTAATCGCTCAATTTTCATGCACTGTCGTCCGCGATTGCCATGTTTTGCTGGTTTGGACAGGCGTAACTGATTGAGTTTGCTTGCGTATTAGATTATGAAAATCCTCCAAGACAGACAGACCTGCTTCTACTCCAGGGGAAGACCTGGAAAATACCCAAGGTGGCTAGACATATTTCTGGCATAGGACATCAAAATAGTTTTATGATCCAATGGTCTTGACCTTTAATTATCAGTTGTTGGGAAAGGTTAGCTTTGGTCGAGGAATTATCAAGACTCTGTTACTGCTGTTTAATTACAGTCTGTCTCAATTCATTATCAGGTTTAGAATTTAGGACTTACACACCATAGACATTAGGGCTATGTATGTACTGTGATATGGATTCTTATAGACCTAATGACATTTTCATATACCACACCTTTACCTATCACAGGTATAGAAAGCAGTAGTACAGTTTACTAGTGTGTGCATTAACTCGATTAACTCGGCACAGCTAGGTGACAACAAATTACAGCAGATAATTTGGGAAGTACCTTTTGCTATTTTTAGAACTTTATACACATACAATAGAGGTATGAGGCCAGACTGGATGTTATTTACCTGTACTTGTGGTAAATCTATTTTAACATAAAAGCCTTGTTTTTGTACAGGTTCGGAGATTAAACAGGCAAAAGATATACGTGCATATAACCATGTTAAACCCAGCTAATTGTGTGTCTGCTGTATATCCTGTCTGAAGTACGTACTCAGTAATATAGACTCTACAAAGTGAAGCATTATCGCTGGGATAAAGCCAAGATAAGATAAGATCAGATAGATTTTATTTAAAGTCAGTGGGCATTTTAAAACAATTAACATAAGCTCTATAGACTGCCATACATGTTACATACAAAGACATTCACACTTGGACAAGTTTGATATGTCAACATTTAGGCAATGCAAATATTAAATGAGATAAAACACTTGAGATTTCGAGCTCTTATCAGATAAACACATTTCCTACACATTGTAGTTGGGACAATACATCTAGTATATTTTAAAACACAGAATTTCCTGTGATATAGTCAATAAATTAGCAATGATCTGATAAAATACATTTAAAATTGAGATAGGACAGGTGTTTAGAAGTTGAGGTTTCATTTGCAGGCTGAACATTTGCATTGCTCAGTATCAGTTGCAGGTTATCAGTATTGATCAAATTAAATAACTCGACTCACATTCAAGGTAACTGCTTCTTATATTTATACATGTAACTTCAAACAGCTTTTTACAATTAAGGAGGTTTAGAGTCATGAATTTGACCTGTAACTTCTGGGGGTAAAAGACCATTAAATGTGTTTGCATAATGATATTGACCTTATTCAAGGTCATGTGGTCAAATGTTAGTTTGAATCTTAAATGACTTCTAATTAACCATGCTGCTTAGACTATTGACAGTTTGTCTATGCATGTGACCTGTTCACACACTCAAGTTCAAATTTGAATAAATATATCAAAATTTTTAACTGCATTCCTCTAGTGAATTGTGAAACTCAGTTCAAACTATATAAACATATTGACTGTAGCTTTCATGGATGAGGGGGCTAGAGGGAGGTTTGTCCAGGTAAATAATACTGATTGGCCCATGCACCTTCGACGTCACAGGAATTATACATCAAAAACTCCTATGACTTCTTCTCAAGAACTGTAAGGACAAAAGTCATTTATTTGTTGGTTATTTTATCTGTATATTCAAATCAATTACCAAAACCTGGCACATCCTTAACCCTTTCACCCCTATGTAACTTTAGTAGGCTCTACCATGCCTAAGATGAGTCCATTATGGTCTACAGTGGTGAAAGGGTTGAAATGATCGTAGCTGTTAATAGGATGTCAAACACAAACAAACAAACATATCAATTATGTGGACAAATATTCAATGGCGCTATCAGATGTCGAATATGTTGAAAACATAGCACGATACCGTAATCTTCTAAGCATTATTTCAGTGCCGAGATATTTTACCAACAGCTGTAAATAACTGGTGAAGTTTACAAGCTCTTTCAGTCTCATCTGTTACTTGTAAGAAAGACTTTAGAAGGGTGTTCAAATGAGAGCATGTCAGTCACGACTTTATACATTGAATTAAAGTTCATATTATATATATATTTTTTTGTTTTGTTTTGCAGCGATTTTTTAACCTTGACAAGGGATTCCTTCTATACTCCAAGTCGCCGTTAGATGTGAGTATGGCCATCACAACACTAAGTCAGCATGTGTGTGCCTATAGCCTTGAATTTCCCCTCCTTATAGCAACAAGCTCCACCCCATTTTGATCATCATCCCTTCAATGTACATAGCCACCATCAGACAGTCGTTTGGTCAGAATAGCATAGGACTCTTTCATGCCCAGGATTGTTGGATGTAGGATAGGGATATTCAACCTGAGAGTTTGTCAAATTGTATTTCGGCACTGGACTTTTCTAAATTTGTGTCGTCACGTCATTGTTGAGCCATTGTGACGTCACGTCACGTGAAATGGGGTGTAAGATTACTAATGCACCCATTTCCTCCCCTGGACAGCTCTATCTTACACACACGGAAATGAGAGAAATACTGTTACTTCCTGTAAAAGACAAAAAGCCTGCAGTTAAAATGCATTACAACAAGAGAAAATATTTTACTTCAATTTATGAAGCTATGTTTTGTGTGTTGTTTACATGTTATAAGGAGTTAAAATTAGTAACGACATATTGTTTGAGTTTTCCTGAATTGGTTTTGAGTTTAAATTATAATCGACCTTCGATTATTTGAGTCTGGTTATGTTTTGATACGGTGAGGTTATAACCAACCGATTATTAGAGTCCCCATGGCTACTTTACCATTTAAAAGGAAACAATATTGACTTCAGTACAGTTTCGTTTTCAATTATTTTATAGTACTAGCTTAAATTTAGCAATTGTTAAAAAATTACAATGGACACCTACCGAAATCTTTTGCATTTTGTTATTGTCAAATATGGTTTTATGTACCGCCATTGATGGCACTGAGTGAAGATTCAGTGTCAAAAAGCGGTTTAGCGATATATTTACTCTTTCACCGCTATGTCACTTTAGTAGACTCTACCCTGCATTGATCCGGATGAGTCCACTATGGTCTACAGTGGCGAAAGGGTTAAGGAAGGTGTATACATGAATCGTTAAGTAAGAAATGGAAAAGGGACCTTGAAATGTGTTGGCAGTATGCATAGGCAAGGTGGCAAATACGATGAAGGGCATTCTATGGAGGTTTTATTGTATTGTCAGCATTATACAGAACATCAGGATAGCTCTTTGTATTGTTAAGTTAACTGTCACGATATCCGCTCCTATCTGGTCAGTTTCTGGTTCTGTATATATGTGGTTGTGGCAGTCATGAGTTATTTATGTCCTGATCTTGTACAACATGAACTGGCAATATTAACCCTTTCACCCCTATGTAACTTTAGTAGACTCGATCTACCATGCATGGATATGGATGAGTCCATTATGGTCTACAGTGTTGAAAGGGTTAACAAGTGTATCAATCGTATATATCAGCTGTAGTCATTTCCTGTATTTTTCAGGACAGCATAATTTCCGGTGATCTAATAAATTCACGTTATCACAAGACAAGTCAATAGTGATTACCATGTATTTTCCACCACAGACACTTTCTGTAGTCTTAATAAGAAATTACTATTACAGTTAGGCAAGTTTATGTGATACTGTATTGCCAAATATTTCATCTACAGTAATTAATAATAAAAAACAACAAAATAAGATTATTGCAGTCTATATTTTGTTATATCATGTAAAATCCTATTGCCATGTAATTTGTTTGGGTTACAGAAAGCCTTTTCAATTTCATGTAGGCAGATAATATATGTTAAGAATTTATACAGGTAGGCAGATGATATATGTTAAGAAGTTATACAGGTAGGCAGATAATATATGTTAGAATTTATACAGGTAGGCAGATAATATATGTTAGAATTTATACAGGTAGGCAGATGATATATGTTAAGAATTTATACAGGTAGGCAGATGATATATGTTAGAATTTATACAGGTAGGCAGATAATATATGTTAAGAATTTATACAGGTAGGCAGATAATATATGTTAAGAATTTATACAGGTAGGCAGATAATATATGTTAAGAATTTATACAGGTAGGCAGATAATATATGTTAAGAAGTTATACAGGTAGGCAGATGATATATGTTAGAATTTATACAGGTAGGCAGATAATATGTTGTTCAGAATTTATACAGGTAGGCAGGTGATATATGTTAAGAATTTTATAATTCTGGTAGGCAGATAATATATGTTAAGAATTTATACAGGTAGGCAGATAATATATGTTAAGAATTTATACAGGTATGCAGATAATATATGTTAAGAAATTATACAGGTAGGCAGATAATATATGTTAGAATTTATACAGGTAGGCAGATAATGTGTTGTTCAGAATTTATACAGGTAGGCAGATAATATATGTTAAGAATTTATACAGGTAGGCAGATAACACAAATTAAGAAAAGTGTGAAAGGGTTTTCAGATGCAGTATTTGCTGTCCTCCTAACACTACACAATGACTAGTGCGGTGAGACATGGACCACTGAGTGATTTCCCAGCTGTAGCTCAGTCGTCCTGTGACCATCTGGAAGTGTTATTGATTCTTATCTAGCTTGTGACCTTGTTGACTTCCTCCTGTACTTATTACATCCTGTTATTCAACCAAAGTACAACCATAACTAGACAGTTGTAACATCTTTGTTAGCTTTTCACCAATTAAGGTCGGTGTTTATCCCCGACATCAGGGATCTTTGGCGTTTTCACACATTGTCTGTCCTGTTTTCTGTCCAGATATCTTTTTTCTGCACAATGACTTGAGTGCTTCATGATGGCAATACAAGTTTAGCTTTATAAATCTTTGCCTAAAGAGTGTTTATTTAGATGGCTATTCTTATCAGTAAGTCAAATCACACAGTCATTCTGCCCACCATCATCAGATGAAGGGCTGTTCAAATTGCCTTTCATCCATTGTCTGTCTGTTCATCCTTAATCAATTCTTGTTAGCGCTATTTCTCAGAAAGGTTCTCCATGGTCAAAAGTTACGCATATTTTTTGAATTATTGGAAAACCAAGCTTTGTTTATTTGATCGAAGTGGTGGCTTTATGTTGATTTGCTAGTCTTAAGGTCAAATGTCACATCCATAGTTTCAATAGTAAAGTTAGAATCTGAAGATGGTAATATGAACGGTAATTAGTCAAACCGTACCTTGTCTGTTTAGAGTGGGAATATGACATTGACCTCATGTTGTCTATTTAGAGTGGGAATATGACATTGACCTTATGTTGTCTGTTTAGAGTGGGAATATGACATTGACCTCATGCTGTCTGTTTAGAATGGGACTATGACATTGACCTCATGTTGTCTGTTTAGAGAGGGAATATGACATTGACCTCATGTTGTCTGTTTCGAGTGGGAATATGACATTGACCTCATGTTGTCTGTTTAGAGGGGGAATATGACATTGACCTCATGTTGTCTATTTAGAGTAGGAATATGACATTGACCTCATGTTGTCTGTTTAGAGTTGGAATATGACATTGACCTCATGTTGTCTGTTTAGAGTTGGAATATGACATTGACCTCATGTTGTCTATTTAGAGTAGGAATATGACATTGACCTCATGTTGTCTTTTTAGAGTGGGAATATGACATTGACCTTGTGTTGTCTGTTAAGAGTCGGAATATGACATTGACCTCATGTTGTCTGTTTAGAGTTGGAATATGACATTGACCTCATGTTGTCTGTTTAGAGTTGGGAAAATGACCTTGACCTTGTGTTGTCTGTTTAGAGTGGGAATATGACATTGACCTCATGTTGTCTGTTTAAAGTGGGAATATGACATTGACCTTATGTTGTCTATTTAGACCGGGAATATGACATTGACCTTGTATTGTCTGTTTAGAGTGGGAATATGACATTGACCTCATGTTGTCTGTTTAGAGTGGGAATATGACATTGACCTTATGTTGTCTATTTAGAGTGGGAATATGACATTGACTTCATGTTGTCTGTTTAGAGTGGGAATATGACATTGACCTTATGTTGTCTGTTTAGAATGGGAATATGACATTGACCTCATGTTGTCTGTTTAGAGTGGGAATATGACATTGACCTTATGTTGTCTATTTAGAGTGGGAATATGACATTGACTTCATGTTGTCTGTTTAGAGTGGGAATATGACATTGACCTTATGTTGTCTGTTTAGAATGGGAATATGACATTGACCTCATGTTGTCTGTTTAGAGTGGGAATATGACATTGACCTCATGTTGTCTGTTTAGAGTTGGGAATTAGCCAGAAGTGTGTCTGCGGTAAGTAGAGAAGTATTTGGTTGTGTTTGCATGGCTGCTATGTATTTCAGTTATTTTAGTTTCTGCTAGCCTGCTGTTTTTCTACACTGTAAGGAACCAACTTGTATTACCAAGTCATCTCCACTGTACTACTAGTTCATTAAAAAATACTTTAACCATTTAGTTTAAAAATATATGAATTAATATAGCTTTAAATAACACTTGTTAGCTACAGCCAGTAGCTGTACATATCATCATATATTTCTATTTTTTAATATATTGTTTACTGTATTATATATATATATATATATATATATGTTAGCTTTCTTTGTAATCTTCAATTGTAAAATTGATTCAATTTTGTATAATTTTCAAAGACTAGACATAGCTACAAATCAAACCAACACTGTATGACTTCAGTTAGTTTTCACTGCAATTTTTTTTAATTTAATTGTTCACTATGGTTCTTACCAATCTGTCATCTTAAATGTTTGTTTTTAGTTTCACTAAGTCAAGAACTTGCTATTCTGTCTTTTCGTATTGCAGAGTTATCTGCTCTTGTGATCAGGCATATTGATAGTTATGTCATTTGTTTGTGAGAGTAACGTCATAATTTTTTGAGAAAAAGACGTAATTTTCTCACACAAACTAATGACGTAACTATCAATACCTGCTCACAAGAGCAGATAACTCTGCAATACGAAAAGACGGAATAACAGTCATAATAATTTAATTGTTTATTCACACTCATTGAATTTCTGAATTCAATTCCACACCACACTAAATGAATCAGTATAGTATCGGGGATCAATCTAGACTTGATTCACTACCGTTTATGGGTTGTTTCCCATACAGTTCTTTGAAATTCCCCCTGTGTGCTTCAAAATTCCCGTATTTCAACAAGAAAATAGCCGTTTCTTCTTCAAAATATTTCTCCTATATTTATATATGTTTTCTTTAAAGTTCAACAGTTAAAATGCATAATACTGCATATATACATTTTCTCCACTGAATTTAAACAAAAATTCTACAATTTTAAGCTTAAAATTGTTTATAATTGAAATATACTGCACACATGTACGACGTACAAACATTTATCTTTTACCTTCATGACGCTAGAGCTTTGTATGAAAATTTTAATTTCCCCCAAATCTGAAAATGGTAATTTCCCCTAAAGCCTATATTGATCCCTGAGGATGATCATCTATAAGGTTGACTTCTTTTAAACATTAATGGTCACCGGTTTACTAGGGCTGCAATGATACGCCATATCTCACGATACGTATCAATGGTTATCGGTTTACTAGGGCTGCAATTAATGATACGCCATATCTCACGATACGATACGTATCACGGTAAGATGCTTATGAAAAATATGAATCATGATACAGACGTCTGCTTAAAAGGTCAACTTCATAATGATCGAGTGCAGGATTTAACGAGTTTTAACATGGACTTTGATAGTAAATACTATCCAAATATATTTTGTATGAATTTTAGTACTTTTGGATATGATTGCACATGTACAGTCGACCACTGAAGAATCAAAAAAAAAATAAGTACAATTTTTCAGAGTTTGATAAAAACTGATAATTTCAGTTCTGGTAGTGTATCACAATACAGGCAAACAGACCAATTTGATACGATGCAAAAAAAAGTTACGATACACAGAGAATAATACATGCCTTTTTCCATATCATACCCAGTATCAACCCGAGACTGCAATATCAGCCCAAGGGCCGAAGGCCCGAGGGCTGATATTAGTCGAGGGTTGATACTGGGTGTGATATGGAAAAAGTGATGTTTCATTCTGTTTATTACATACTTACTAATAAAAGCTACTATCTTATGATAAATTTTTCTTTTGAAATATTGAAAAACGAAAAAAAAAATCAAAAAGGGGTGTCAAAAAAGTCATGATTTATTCTGTTTATTACATACTTACTAATAAAAGCTACTATCTTATGATAAATTTTTCTTTTGAAATATTGAAAAACGAAAAAAAATCCATAAGGGGTGTGAAAAACCAGTTATGCGGGCTGATACAGGTTTTTGGGCGTGATACGGCGGGGGCTGATACGGCTTTTGGGGTGTGATACGGCGAGGGCTGATATGGGTAAGAGCAATTGTGTCGTATCACATATACAAAAATCCTGTATTTATTAGTAAGTATGTAATACAATACAATACGTTATATCGTTGCAGCTCTATAGTTTACTTTCATCAATTCAACAAGATCTTTCAAAGAAAGATTTCGATGTTTGTATACGTATTCTACTCCACATGACCTGAAGGGATGTACAATTCCAATGGAAGCTAGATTGAAATAAGTCAGGGCTGTTGAAAATGTTCAGCAAAAAAAATTAGATTGGACCAGTAGAAATTTTGGCTGTCTGTTGGCTAATGAGATCAGTACTGTAGTGTACATGTAAAATTGAATGTCCCTGGTCTGTAGTTGCAGTGATTTAATTATATTGCTTAGTTCGTACACAGCCAAAAAAACAAGCTGCTTCCACTGTCAAGAAAGTGCTTTATTTTCCCAAAATTAAAGAAAAAAATCGGGTAATTTTCCCAATTTCAATAAAAATGATGCTATATTTCACCAATTCATGAAGGAACAGGCTCAACCTATTTTGTAAAATCACGGACTTGTTATTAATCTGGAAAAATCACGGACTTGTTATTAATCTGGTTGGTGTATAGTGCCTAATAGGTTTCGACCCATACAAACTAGAGTAACACAACAGTTCTGGCTGGAGCACCAGTTAGATTAGCTTGTATCAAGTTTACAACGTAATTTAGGTATAGTGGTACCTAACGAGGGCCCGAGGTCTCTTCATGAAATGAGTTGATTCTGTCCCCGGTGACGAGGTGACAGTACAGACAATTAAGTGTTATTGTGTAGGTCGTGGGTACCATTCTGTAATCGTCTGATGAGGATCAATATCTAATCGGGAATTCAATGTGTATATGTTGCTTGGGGTATGTGTTTGTGGCAGCCAATCGAGGGAAATTGATCAACACGTGGGCCAGTGTTTGGAATCTTCTGTAACAGTATCGCGACATCTGTAGGTACAGCTTTTACCCAATCGTGGAGGATATAGATTCAATTAAACTCTAATTAAACTCTAACCTTCAGTTTGATGGAAATGTTTGAAGCTTAGTGCTCCAACTGAGATGTATGAAGTAGTTTTTGAAGTTATTATTGTGAACGTCAGTTACATATTACTTTCCCCTTTCCCCAGTAAAGTTAAATGTGTAACATAGATACTTATGAGGAATTGAAATTGTATATTATTTATGTATTGATAGGTACAGAAGATATTTTATAATTCATTAATGCAGAGACCCATGATTCCTGTACTGTATACAGGCTTTGAAAAGTTGTTTTCTGTTTATATCATGTAGTTTGCTCCGTGTTCGTTCAAAGATAATTGAAGGATGCAGACCTTTTTAACGAGTTACAATTAACATTTAGAAAGCGTTTCTTGTAATGTTGCAAATTGATTATATTATAAGCAAGCAAGGAGCTTAATTTTTCGTTTAATTTATGTAATATTCTCAACATTCATTCAAAGATTATTGAACAATGCTGAGCTTTTTAATGAGTCACTACATTTAGAAATTGTGTCCTGTAAATGTTTCAGAAAAGTATTTATGTAACAACATCATGACAGGTTAAAACTAAGTGGATAAGCTCCTGGCTTGCTTTATATTCAAAAGTCATAGATCAAATCCCTGTGGACAGGGCAAAGTTTTCTTGTACATGTATAAGGAAATTGTAATAAATACTCTTTGTTATAGTAAATGGGCAAACAGCTCTAAATCAGGAAAAAAAATGAAAAAATTGGAACTCTTCTTTGTTGGAGGATACAACAAAGTGCTGCAATTCTCTACCTTAAGGCAATCTCACAGTTTTTCTTTCAGTGCACACTCATCTGTCCTGTTTGAATTAGTTTCTCAGATTTTGAGATTGTAGCCAACCAATTAATACATTTCTTACCATATATTATTTTCACCCACTGAGTCGTGAAGTTCAAAAACTGAGAATTTAAATTTGAAAAAATTTCCTCTAATGAAAAAAAAATGATGTTTTTGTTGTTAAGTAAATAGGGATATATATTTATAGATCAAACACAGGAGTTGATCAAGTGTTTCTGGAACAGCTTGGTTAGCTGATTAATTTGAAGCAATAATTTATGAACGTCAGTTACATATTTCTTTCCCCTTTCCCCCAAAAAAGCTAAATGTGTTAGGAAACTTAATAAATCTCCAAAGGTTCAATAAATCATTTTATACCTACTGGAATCCTTGATCAGGAATTAATTATAATGGATACAATTTATTGAGTTTGTAAATAATTAGTTTCCTTACAATTCAAAATTATCAGGTGTTAAAATGTCCTTTAAAAAGTACCGAAAAGAGTATATAGTTATAGGTGTAGGCATGTTTTTCTGTTAATGTAAGAAGTGACTTAGAACAAGTTAAAGAATTTTATATTTCTGAAGTGTCCAATGGAAATCTACAAACTTTTTGAATGTACCCCAGTAATTTATTCTAACATGTATTACTTCCAGGTCTTATTTAGTTTGTAATGGGCTATACCTATTACTTCCAGGTCTTATTAAGTTTGTAATGGGCTATTATACCTATTACTTCCAGGTCTTATTTAGTTTGTAATGGGCTATACTTATTACTTCCAGGTCTTATTTAGTTTGTAATGGGCTATACTTATTACTTCCAGGTCTTATTTAGTTTGTAATGGGCTATACCTATTACTTCCAGGTCTTATTTAGTTTGTAATGGGCTATACCTATTACTTCCAGGTCTTATTTAGTTTGTAATGGGCTATACCTATTACTTCCAGGTCTTATTTAGTTTGTAATGGGCTATACCTATTACTTCCAGGTCTTATTTAGTTTGTAATGGGCTATACCTATTACTTCCAGGTCTTATTTAGTTTGTAATGGGCTATACCTATTACTTCCAGGTCTTATTTAGTTTGTAATGAGCTATACCTATTACTTCCAGGTCTTATTTAGTTTGTAATGCGCTATACCTATTACTTCCAGGTCTTATTTAGTTTGTAATGGGCTACTATACCTATTTTGAAAATATTTCTCTATTTCAGAAAGAGAAGATCAAACTTATGGTGAAATGTTGAACAGTTTTAATCAGAGTTTTATCTAATTCCCTGTACTATGTGGAGTTATCAGATAATTCTGTTTTAATTGAAATATGTTAATATTAACAGAATAATCCAAGTGACAATCTGGCGACCTAGATGTGGATTTTTCTTTTCAAAACACTAACATATTCTATGTTCAGTTAATTTTCGTAAATTCTAACCCAATATACGTTGTAGTTTGAGAAACATATACGTTTTTACTCAATTCAATATACCTTTGATACCTCTTACTTCTTTTTAAGATAATAATTTTATTTGTAACAAATGAAATAAAGTAACAACATTTGCCGTGAGGAAATTTGTTTGCATTTTATAGTGTCACTTACTTATTTTTAAGATCAGGTTTATTTTCAACAAATGAAAAAAATACAAACATTTGCTGTAAGAATTATGATAATTATGATAATTATTTAGAATGTGTTGACTTGATTAATTAAGAAAAAAAATCATATAAACTATTGTTTTATATCAATACATATTGCGGTCAAGAAATATTCTGTTGAAAAATACTGGAATTATAATTCATAAGAAGCATGCTGCATACTCTTTGATTTTAAAAGTTGAATTCTAATTTTAGTTGTTGTTTTTAAATTAAATTAACTACTGAGTTTTAATTCTGTTTACTACTGTATGTTAACAGTGTTTTTTGTCTGTTAATTATATTACAGTGTACATCATCTAACAGGACCAGATAGGACTAAAATGGAGTCACTTGGATTTTTTGTTTCTAAATTAAAATTAATTACTTCTGGTTGGAATTTTGTAAAATATATTTTCAAATTAAAAAAATAAAATTTGGTACCTTCAACCTCCTTTAGTCCCAGGTAGTAATACCGATGTATATAAGCAGTATATAGTATAATATGCACAATGATGTTCCCTAAGTCTTTGACGTTATGTCGCTTTCCCATTGGTTTCTATGTCAATTTACCTCTGGAAAATTAATTTTTCCTGACTTTGTTTTTAGTAAAAAAAATGATGAAATTCAGCACAAAGCTTGAGAATTATTTAACGCTTCTCTTGGTAATATTAATATAATCATCCATTTCATAGAATTCTAACCGTGGCGAGTTACTTGGCAAAAACATATAACAGGGCCATGGAAAATAATATACATGTTACCAAAGGAAACACTGGATAATTTTTTTATCAAGATGTCAAGTTTAATCAAAATCGGATGTCAAATGAAGTCACAAAATTTAAAAGAAAAACAAGTCAATTAACATAGAATCCAATGGGAAAATGACGTAATGTGAAAGGCTTATGGCACATTACTGTATTTACAGACATTAAGCCATTATCAGAAAATTAAAGTCGCTCCAAAGCAATGAAACAAAACAAATTGCAATATGATCTTTCGATGAATTATGATATAATATTTTTGGCACTGTTAAAAAATCAAAATGATTATTAGTTTGTCAAAAACTAGGGAAGTTGGGACCTTCCTTACCCCTTCCCCTCCCTAATCAAAAAGTAAAGAAAAAAAAATTGAAGCAGGTAGTGTGATTTTGTGTGTGTGAAATTTACGCTACATATTCAAGAACAACCTTATGTCATATGCTGGTGAAAATGAATTGTCTGCATACAAAATGGATCCTAGTTAGCTTAAGAATTCTTTAATCCAGGACTGAAGTGATAGTCGGTTCGTTAGAGATGATTCAGGGCTGTAGAAGCTTGCCGTTACCCAACAAAATATCTCCACCATGCTCCAGATCTGTACACCTTATAACGGCCTGAGGCCTATTAGTGGAACCGTCTAGTCTGTTTTGACCACTTATCGAACACTTCCTGTTTTGTTGGTGACAGTTAAGGTCAGACAATCCTTGACTAGACGTCTAATAATTAATACTTCAATTAACAAAACAATATGTGGGATGTGAAGAAAGGCAATCTTTTGTGTGTATATCTATTATATATTGTGTCTGAGACAGTCGGGAATATCATAGATTTTTTTTTCAAATTTTGTGTCAGTTTCAAGAATAGTAGAACCCTTTCCTTAAGAGTATGGCAGCCGAGAAATGTCAGCCTCTGCTTCAAGCTGTGTGTGACACATATATATATATACTATATCAGATATGTGAGTCCTTCGTCTGATTATAAAAGCTAGGGAAGTGAAACCTTATCTAGATATTATACATGTATCAGAAACACAAGTTTTGAGTCAAGTCCCCCAAAACATTGTTGGTTATTTATCCTGTTCATCTGAGTCAAGTTAGTTAGTCTTTAAAATTGTATAAAACAAATGTTTTATCGAGACATTTTTAAGAAATTCTCAATTTAATTAGATCAATTTTTCTTACAAAATATTGTTCCAGTGCTACAGTAGTTGTCGGTATCAATCAGTGGCAGACCCAGAAGGTTTTTTTTGGCTTCAAGAAACCCCGCACCCTGACAATTTTCTTTAAAAATTATGTATTTTCACCATTTTCCTCAATTTTCCCCACATGGAACCCCCCCCTGGAAATTTGGAAACCCCCTCAGATAGGTCTCTGGATCTGCCACTGTCAAGTGATGTTACCATTGTCTGCAGGGACATTTCAGCTTCTTTTATAGTTCTGATAACAAAAGAAAAGGTGAAGGATAGAGGTCTGATGGGCCTCTTGTAATGGTATAAGAAACAATTGTTTGATACTTTTTGCCATGGTTTTTATAATGTTATAAATAAACGTTGTTTTTTACGTGACATTTTTTTTTTTTTACATAATGATATATGATAATGTTGTGCCTAAAGTGTTACAATTTTGCTGAGGATTTGATGTTCGTCTCAGCATTGTAAGTCAGAAAAAGTTGTTTTGTTTTCTCTTTAGTTTTACCTTCTTCACATGACACTCCTGCATGTCAGCCGTTATTAATTCCTCCATATGAGGAATCCACACACACACTGTTTGAAAATTGGCTCGTCAAGTTCTGTTCTTTGCACTTCATTTTCTCCTTTAACGACCATTGTCATCAAAACCTTGTTTTGAATCATTTAAATAAGATAAAATTGAGAAAACCTGTAGATGATTTGCACTGTATGATATAAGTATGGTAGAACCACTTTATACTTAGAACTCGGATGCCTCCAACAAAATCTCGAAGTTATAATTCAGTCCCAGCCTTAGATATATCCTTCTGGTATGCCTGAAACAACTCAAACACAAGAAAAATATTGTTTCTGATCCCAATGGCTTCATTTTGCACATGTTGAACTTTTACTGGTAATATTTCAGTTTTAAATCTATCTTGTTATTACCATGCTGGTGTTGAAATATGGAGAACAAATATCAATGCAGCACTGAATCATAAAAAGTCCATTTTTAATTTTTGTTTGGACCCTTAGTTTGTTTCTTTAGATAAGTAGACTTTTTTTTTTTTTTTTATAGATGCAAAAGTGTAAATACCATGGAGTGATAGATGTCGGCCTTTCTGTTGTGGCATTTAAAAAACACCAACACAGGATCTACATAGACGCAGAGGACATAGTTTATCATATAAAGGTAAGTCTATCCGGAAACCACAAACATGTCCAGTCTAGGTTTGTTAAGGATGTATGTTACCCTACACTTTATATACACCTTTGATTGAGTTAGAGTTATCTCCCTTTAAAATTTTAAAACATTATATATCTATATGTTATACTCCACATAGACCAAAATGACTTTAATGCTTTAATTCTTTTACAAGAATAACATTCTGTTATTTTTCTAAGTAACAAATCATTAAGTATGATACAGCTTTAGTATCAGGTAGAGTGTCTATTTGTCAAGGATTGCTGTAGGCTTCTGATGAAAAATGATGAAAGTATTAGTGATGTATTGATTCCCTGTGTTACAGATCAAGGATAGTCGCTTGTTTGATGAATGGCTGAAAAGAATAAGCCACCATAGGTTATACCGTCAACATGAGCTGGCCTATGGAACCAAGGACTCCCCAAGGCTTACAGAAATTACCTCCCCTACAGAGGAGATGCCTCCCCTTACTTCATGTATGTGAAAATTCTATAAAAAATTTTTTTTAAAAAATGGTAAAAATATGATCAAGATGACCAGTGTTGTCAATATTTAAGCATTGATGTGCTAATAGGCATGGGGCCTGTTCTGTCAGATTCAAACTTTGACAGTTAAACATGAAACTTTTATGGGAAACTACTGTGTTAGGAAGATACAAGGACACTGTGTGTATTTGATCAATTTGTTTGTGTTGTAGCTTTGAATTATCCCTCGAAATCTCGTGATCAAAAACTCAGTTCTGAGGTTATCCGCCAATCCAGCTTTAAAGGACGGGAATCATCACAGAGTCGGGTGGCTACGTGGCTTCTAGACACGGCAGGCTTCGAGCACTGTAATAAAGGTAGATAACCCTACACAATATATCACCAACACCCTACAAATTTTTCCTTTAATTATCTCATCTGTAACTAAAGTAGACCATCCAGAACAATTTTACTGGCAAAAAGTCACGCTCTTCCTGTATTAACTATCTCCCCAGTATTGCAGGTAGACAATCGTAAATTATTCCACTCTCCAAAAAGATCTGATGTCATCTAAATGTTTGCTTTTATTATGGTCTCATGTTATGTGAAGGAAAAGGAGAAGCACCCAAATGATACTGATTTAATCGTGTTCATAGCCCTATGCATGTAACTTCCCCTGGTAGTATTTACATAGGGACTTGCAGTGACAATGTTAATATAGTGTGATATAAATTTCTTGTATATAGTGCTTACACAAAGAGTTTGTCTACTAATACAGAACTACACGACACCAGAAAAATCCTGAATGATTTGAGGGAAGATCTGGAACAGATTAGAAACCTGCCCATGTCTGTGGATTCCAATGCAGTTCTAGAGGTAACACACACGTACAGCTTACTATCTCTCTCTTGGCTTATAAATACTGTGTTTTTGTACTTTGCTTTTAGTTCTGTCTTTTATTCTGAGAGTTATTGCCCCTTATTCTGGTTCATAGTGTTCACCATTATATTCTTGTTCACCTTCAGTATATAGTCATTGAATAACGAATAATAATGGTAAATACTATTCCTGTATTATAGGGTCGAATTTTATAGTGATTATAGTAAGCTAGTTTATCATTTTTAATAGCTTTATCGTCTATGCTTCTGCTTGCCTGCTTATATTACCTGACTTTCCATTGATCAGGATTATCAGCTGTATATGAAAATTTTCTAAACAAAACAAAATCTGAAAACATTACTATAAAGTTCTTTTACAGAAGCTATCTGACCCTCATAAGACATATGTTTCGGGGATAATCAAATATGTTTATGGTGGCTATGGTTCTTAACTCATTCACCCCTGAAATTTCATAATGAACTATTCCAACCTTTGAATTGGAAGAGTTCCAATGTGTCTTCAGGGGTGAATGAGCTATAAACCAGAAGCTGAGTTATGGCTTTATTATAACATGTTTACATTTCTTAGATGTGCTATACTATATGTTATCTGCAGGTAGCAGAATTAGAATCGTCAGATGCTAGAAAGAAGCTGAAGGGTCTAGCCCTCCGATCAAGTAGAAAAAAGGAGAAGAAGGCCGAAGTGTTAAACAATCATCACGAAAATAATGAGGTACTGTAAATATATACTACAGTGTCTTCGGCCCAGTAAATATACTAAAATCTATCCCCCAACAATGGACTTCAAGTGCTATACAAATGTGTGGCCAAATCCAGCCAGTCCTTACAATTTTAGCTCATTTTATTCCACTCACCAAGTCGTCCCAGAACCATACAAAATGCTTCAATTAGTACCCTGTCCAAATGTCAATTTTCTTACGTTGTTTATATTATAGAGCAGTTTGCCTATTTCGCTAATCTGACACAGAGAACTTTTGTCAACTGACAGGATTTTTCAACATGCATTTTCTCGTGACATATCACATAAGCCAAGTGAAATGGGATTAATATTTTTGAAAACCAGTTGGATATTTTACACTCTGAGAAAGTGGAGAACCAAGTTGGGTGATGAAAAAATGTTTCAAATATATGCAGTTTAAAAATATGTACAATATGATGGACAATGGTGCTTCTTCAATTTCCTGTGGCCAGCTTTCACAAACATTCATGTGTTCAAATGTAATTAGTCCCCCATCGATTCCCGAGGAGGAGTATAGGTATGTATGTCTGAACTCTGTCTGTCCAAAGAGTTTATCCGAGGTATGTTCTATACTACTTCACCTTGAATAACCAGATTTTGTGTGCAAGTACATCTTGGGATGGTGGAGTGTCAAGTACAAAAAGTAGGTCACTGTGACCTATGGTTTGACCTTTGACCACAACCTTTGAAAAAGATCGTTTGGTGCATATCGCTTATACTATTTCACCTGGAGTAACCAGATGTGGTATGTAAGTACATCTTGGGATATGGGAGTGTTAAGTAAAAAAAAGTAGGTCACTGTGGCCTATGGTTTGATATAACCTTATTTTGAAATAAAAAAGTTTTTTTATGGTGCTTATCTCCTGTACTATTTCACCTGGAGTAACCAGATAAGGTATACAAGTATGTCTTAGCTGGCGGAGTACAATAAATATGTCACTGTGACCTATATAATTTCTAAGACAGGCGAACAGCTCTGTAAATAAATCATTACTGGTGGCGGACCATGGATTGCCTCGCAATACTTTACAATACACTGTTTCAATATACGGTAATCTGTGAAATAGATGATAATGTACAAGGAATGTCAATAGTTTTACAGTTACAACTTTGACATTTGTTACAGAGCAGTAATACTCTCCAGATCAACGCTGAAAATATCCGGACCAGTTCTTCTAATCCAAACCTTTTGCAGTATGAGACGGAAAGGTCACGACCCCGTAGCGTACCTGACTACCAGACCGTATCAAATCATGAACAACGTATCAAAGAGCTTAAACTACGTGAAGATTTTGTTATTAAGTCAGACGCCGGTAAGGGTCACATAGAATCAAAGGAGTTATTTGAATCCAACAGTATATTATTGAATCACACTGGATTTCAATTAGTACCACCTTACATTATGTCACACTTCCGTAATTTTTTGGCACTAAAATTAAAAGTTTTTTTCTCTATATGTACTGCAGTTAACCCTTTCACCCCTAGGTAACTTTAGTAGACTCTTCCGTTCATTGATCTGGAGGAGTGCATTACAGTGGTGAAAAGGTTAATTCTTTATGATGTGATTTTACGAAACTCCTCTTAAAGTGTACCATTTGTTAAAATATATTATTACACCATTGTGGAATATTTAAGTAATTTTCTACGTATTATTCAGTATATTATAGACATTTAATGATGGTCTATGACGGAATTAAAGTTCTTTGTAATTGGAGTATTTCAAAACAAAAACTTAAAAGAAGGAACGATGCTAATTGAAGTCCAGGAGAGCCTGGGAAAGCATGACATCTGTGTTGAAAGAATGATAGAACGTGATGTGACTTGCAGACAAAGTCATTAAATGAAATATATACGTATACTGTACAACTGGAAGTATTTGCCAATGTTTAACTTTTCGCCTTTTTCCGTCTTCGGTAATGGGCAAATTTATCATAAAAGCAACATTTGTAAACAACATAATAAACATGGTAATTAGATGAGAAAGGCAAAGTTTACAATGAGTGAATACGATATTACCAGCGTGGGGTGAAAGTTTGACAGGCCGAAAGTTTGACAGGGTAAAATTTTCCCAGTATGCAGTAACTGTTTTTGTGTAGGGAATATTTGTCACATGTTGCTTAGATAATGTACAATATTTGTGTTTTTATAATATTTTTTCCATTTATTTTCTTTCAGTATATTCCTCCCTGATGTCTCTCTTCCATATAATGGGCACGGAGAGAGATCGACTCAAGAGTGCAATAGACATAGACAATGGCATGATGAATGCGGGATCGGCGAACACGTTGCTCCTCAGACAAAATCTCTCTGAGGTATGTATTGCTATTGTCTTGTTACAGACCCTAGAGATCCATCGAATATCTGGTCCTATTAACTCATTCACCCCTGAAGTTTCATAATGAACTATTCCAACCTTTGAATTGGAAGAGTTCAAAGATGTCTTCAGGGGTGACTGAGTTAATACATGTATTCTGAAATATGGTGACAGCCCTTCCCTTTGGGCCCAAGTGTCTGAGTGGTGAGAAAGGTTAACTCATTCACCCATGAAGTATCATAATGAACTATTCCAACCCTTGAATTGGAAGAGTTCAAATCTGTCTTTAGGGGTAAATAAGTTAAGACTCCTCTTTCAAGGCATTTTTTTTTTTAAATTCTGTATTATTACAGTTTCTCCAAATCCAAATTAACCTCCGTAATTAGATATCCTGAATCTGCCGCTTGAAATGTGTAAAAGTGTGTATGTTGTGTAAAGTAAACTCAGGAGAAATGTATGGTGTAAACCTTCCATGACATGTACAACAATCCCACAACATCGTATGACAGAGTAGAGGAAATACACTGGAAAAAGGGAGATAATTCTATATTCTGTCAATCTGTTGCCAGGCTCACCGTACAATAGCCGAGTTAAAGGCTCGACTGACAAGGATCAACATTGAGTCATCTATAGAAGAAACGAAAATGACAACAACACCCGCATCCCCTGTCCTGTCGCCAACGGAACGGGTAAGTAGAACCAGAGACAAAAACAACAACTATTTGTGGGGGTTGTCACCTAATAGGGTTAATGTGAAATATTTCACCCGAAGGAATTTGTTGAAATACCCCACTTTCAGGGATTATATTTAAGGTATATCACCTGAGAGAATTTTCAGGATTTCTCACCTGGAGAATTTGTTTGATATCCCTTATGAAGGATTTTGTTATCGTATTTGACTGTAAATAAGCCACAACTCACAAATATGCCCCCTCACCACTTTGGTAAATGTCCTTAGAACAGGATGGGTGCCTACAATTAATCCCCCTCCCTAATTTTGTCTCTCTCTCCCTAAAAAAATAAAAATAAAATATGTATGTTAGTTTTTGTCTTTGAACAACTAAATGCAAAAGAACATGAACCAAGTTAAAATTCTATAGATAGTTGTCACTGAATTAGACACAAGATTCTCACTAGAAGAGTTTGGTTTGATTTTTTAACCATCTTCGTTAAAGGTTCATGTGTAGTTTTCTGTAATTTGTTCTTGTCCCAGACGTACCAGAAGTGGTATTTGATACAATGATAATGTATTACAGGAGCCTCGAAGTCATTGTTTATCACAGTCCCTTTCCGCTGAGAGCTGCTCCATCTCCGAGTACTATGATGCCGAGGAATACAAAGAGAGCGGCAGTGAATCTTCCACAGAGGTCAGTATGTCAACCCACTCACCCCTAAAGTCACAGTTGAACCTTACCAAATCATAGACTGGGCAAGTCCAGTTTGGATATGTAGGGAGATGGCTTAATATAAGAGCCTACTCTTGTTGCCAGATCCCCAATATTACATTCTGTATAATATTATATTATGTACTGCATATTTGTAAATAAAATATTGTTTGAACCAAATATGTAGGGGTGAATCCGTTAGCATTAACCTTGGCTAACTTACTGTTGCCATACCTCCACTGAGAATCTGTGTTGTGATTGGCTAAAATCAGTCACATGACCTAACATTATATTCCAATATCTAACCTGCAATGTGATCAGAGGGTCAGTATCTTGCCTGTGATGCTGAGATTTGATGTTGTCACTAAACCCTTTCACCACTGTAGACCATAATGGACTCATCCAGATCAATGCATGGTAGAGTTTGGTAAAGTTACGTAGGGTTGAAAAGGTTAAAGCAAGGCTTGGTCAGGTTAGGCAATTTGGGCAGCTGGTCTCAGGTCTTCATTCACCATATGGACTGAAAACAGTTTATTTTCTGTGTAATATCAAACTTTTTATCAGGTGCCCAATAGTTTATCAGATGTCCCTCTAACTATCTGTCTGTCCAGACTTTTGTTTGCGGGGATTATCTCAAAATTCTTTTTTTAAATTGTTATATGGAAATGCGTAAGAGGAGTTTAAAAAAATTTCCTGTGAGGTATAACAACCTGTCTAAACCAAACCTTATATAACATGGACACCTTCACAAACCATATAGCTTCAGACAGGTGCCAGGTTATAAACCTCTGTATGGTAACCTTGGTAACCTGAAAATAGATTTTTTTTCTCTTATTTCCCTGTGTATAAGATAGAGCTGTCCAGGGTAAGAAAGGGGTGTAGGAAATTTCCATCTTACAACCCATTTCACGTGACATGACGTCATAATGGCTCAACAATGATGTGACGTCACGAATTTGGAAGTCTCCGATGCCGCAAATTCGGAAAAGGCGATGTGATGAAATTAAAATCTTTTACTATATACTTACTGTACGTACACATTAGAAAGATGTGCTAACTTTTTCTACACAAACACTGTTTGCAAATATGGGATATGCTTAATCTGGCTGGCTGATTTGAGAGAAAAATACTCTTTCATGCCCAAGGGTGTAGGATAGGGACATTCCACACTCGGGATTTTCCAATTTGGCAAAACACCTTGGTAGGAATGTCCCTATCCTACACCACTGGGCATGAAAGAGTCTTATAATATATGGCCTTGAATTCAACAACTTCCTTTGTGTTCCCAAAAATTTTCAATTTTCAATTTTTCAGAATTTATCTACTGTATAACGGGAAATTTTCGGGGGTTTTTTTCGGTGAATTTATCATGTCAGCAAACTTTTGTAAACAACATAGTATTCGTAGTAATGAAATGTGAAGGGCGAATTTAACATTCGGCAAAAATAGATTTTATCGTTGACAGGGTGAAAATTTCACAGGTCCTAACTCATATTTTACAATGCTTGTAAATTTGAACCCAACAATGCTGTTAAAATTGTATTTGAAAAAAAAAAAAAACAGTGACATCTACAATGATGATAAACAAAGAAAAATTATGTTTCAATTAGATTTTTAACTACATGAACGTAGCGGTAAACACAGATATACAAATGTATTTAATATTCAATGTATTCAATATTCAATGTATTTAATATTCAATGTATTTAATATTCAATCAAACTTTTTGTTTAGTTGTCAGATTGGTTGTTTCATGAAAAAATAGAATTGATAATAAGAATGTATTTCCCCATTAATCTGGTCTTTTTGTAGCCATCAGATGACGAGGAGATTTCCAGTGAAATATCAGAAGAAAATGACACTGACTACAACGCTGCTATCAGTGGTGAGTTATATACTAGCATACTCAGTATAACAAAACAATAAGAAATTTTGATTACAGTTACTATCCTGTTATAAATATAAAGAAAATGACATTCTTAGAGTAAACAAAAAATAATGACGTATTCCAGCCGATATTTAACCATGAGAACTAGATAGCACCAGGCTCCCTCTTTGGTATCTTACAAGAGCTGTCTTCATATTCTTTCTTAATTCACAGTTTTCCTGTTAGTAGGGTTGATGTCAAGGTTTTAAGGAGCAAAGCCTGCTGAGATATTTACTGTTTATCTCTTGGCTGCTATGGTAGCAGGATCGGTTGAAGTAGAGATGTTAAATGGACAGGAAACACCCCTTTCCCTTTCATCCCTTCTCTATCCTTCTTTCTACTGTTTCTTTTTTCTTTTATTTCTTAAATTTTTGCACCCTGACCAAGTGCACAACATCATGTCATAGTCAACAGTGACTGACTGCATTGGCCTAAAACAGGGGGAGTGAGTGACAGAAGGAACCGATGCTTATCCTTTGTTGGAGCTACTAACTTCTTTCTCAGTTCTATAAAAATGGCACGAAAGGCAACAACTTTGTAAGTAATTATTGGATCACAAAATCTGAATTACATGTACGACTGGTTATGATGGTGCTTAACCTAACAGGGTTTCAAAAAAATTGGATGGAAACTGAGGGAATAGTTGTCTGGACAAAATGTTAAATGGACGGACAGATAATGCCTTACCATTATTCATCCTGTTCAGGCAGGTATTGAAAAAAAAAATGTTATAAGGATTAATTTCTGATTCATATTAAGTGTATTAAAGTTGTAAAAGTAAGCCATAATCTGCCAGGTAAGTGATAAGACTAATACATTAACTCATCCACCCCATTCAGCCCCCACCCCTGAAGACATTTGAACTCTTCCAGTTCAAAGGTTGGAATAGCTCATTATGAAATTTCAGGGGTAAATGAGTTAAACAATAATAACTTGAAAACAATGAATATTTTTATTAAAAATTTAAAAAATAACCTTGAAATTTTTGGGAAATTGTTACACTCTGTCACTGTCAGATCTTTCATTTTCTGACCTTAAAATTTCCTGGTAAATTCCACCATGAAAACCTGCATCCCTGCATGGAGATGTGGTCAGAAAGAGCTCTTCCTTTCTGAATGAGTTAAAATAACATTAAGAGCTATATAAAATAAAGAAAGCTGTCAGAATTATTCTATGGTGAACGCTGAGCCGGAGATATTTGCTCTATGATTCCTTATGAAATTTGCAATACATTCTCACCTTTATACTTTTTTGTCATTTTAGTGTCTGAAGACCAGTTATCACAGACATTCCAGACTGGCCATCGATCCAAACTTCCCGTCCCAAAACCAGACTCTGGAGATGTGAGCCTATGGAATCTTCTGTATAAAAACCTGGGCAAGGATCTCACCAAGATCTCCATGCCTGTCACCCTTAACGAGCCACTCAGTATGCTTCAGGTAAAAAAGTCATACCTGTCTCTGTCAAGTGAATGAGTCCTTCAGCGTGATCAAGTTATAAAGCTTTAATTCTATTCCCCTCAGAGAGCCACTGCATATATTTCTAGTAATACAACTTCATACCCCTTTTCCCTCAATGAGCCACTTGGCAGCTCCCTGCTGTAAAACTTTAACCTGTTACCCTGAACAAGCCACTCAGTATGCTCCATGTAGGAAATGAATCAATACTTGTCATCCTGAATGAGCCTCTGAATGTTTCATGTAAAAACTCTATAATAAAACAACCCTCAATGGGCCACTGTAAATAATCGTTATGCTTCATGTAAAGGCTGTCTTTCTTTAGTGGGTATTTTTCAGTGTCTTCTATAAATAAAAACCTGTACCCTTTGTCTGAGGGTCGACATATTCTCCTGGATTTGACAAAAGACATCATGACGGGTGCCACATGTGGTGACAGGAAACACTTTTCCCTCTAGTGTTTCCCTCTAGAAGAATATCTGGTTCAGCCTCCATTTTAGTGGAGGGTCATGCCGTCTTTCCTTTTGTTTCCATGTGTACTCGTTATTTATATCGGCTCTATCGTGTTAATATATGTCTATTTTCTTTGAACAGAGACTTTGTGAAGAGATGGAGTACTCCGAATTGGTGGACAAGGCAGTGGAAATCAATGACCCTTATGAGCGTATGGTAGGTGACCACTGTTGTGAGGCCCGGGCTCTCTGTAACAGCACAGATCCTTTCTATTTCTTATAAGTACATGTACTCACAACAGATATTTTGATAAAATCTTGTTGACGGGCAGGAGGTAATGTTGAAGGATATATGCATTAGGATTGATCTTCATTTTGTCGGCGTATACAGCAGTATGAACGCAATTAGCAACAAACATATTCTATGGTGCTTGCTGAACTTTAAACAGCACCATATCTGAAACAGGTATCAATCCGCCGAGCCATTTTTCACTGCGTATACGCTAATTTATAAGCAGTCAGAGTTTACTAAGCCGAAGAAGGGAGTAGTGTAAATATAAAGATATGACTTGAATTATTTTGGCACTTACTAGGAAAATGAAAATTTTTGTTTTTAATATTGTGGCTTTCTGAAATCGGCATGAAATATGTTTTGACGCGCTATACGAAGTATACATGTAAGAATTATCTCCCTTTTTTAACAGTTGTACATTGCTGCCTTCACGGTAAGCAGCTATGCCAGTTCTGGGTACCGGGCAGGACACAAGCCATTTAACCCTCTCCTCGGCGAGACTTATGAATGTATCCGAGAGGACAAAGGCTGGAAGTTTATGGCAGAACAGGTGAAAGTTCATTTCATTTAGATATTTTATGGATAATTAAAAGCTAACCAAGGTGAAAGTTGGACTTTGATACAGTAATGTAATTTATAGTAGATGCATGTTTGTCAACCTTTCAAATTTGTCCTGTGGAGATGTTCAGTAAAATATAGCAAATTGTGAAAAAATAAATATAAGAGATTACAAGAAAAAGAATTCTCATAATAAAAAATCAAAGAGATTACAAGAAAAAGAATTCTCATAATAAAAAATAAAAATGACGGAGAAATTGTGAGTCTACTTTCAAACTTAACAAGCGTATGTAGATAATTGAATTTATTTGTTTACTTTTTACAGGTGAGTCATCATCCTCCAATATCTGCCTGTTACTGCGAATCGAAAAACTTCACATTCTGGCAAGGTCAGTTTTGGACGATTAACCGTCTGATTTTGTCATATATCATCACATGTTCACACTCAACAACTAATTGTTTAAAATATGTACAGAGTTCAGAAAGATTAGTCTTAAGTCAGAATAGTATGATACTTGATCCGTGTTTGTGTGAAGCAGAATAAAATTACACTTGATCAAAAGTCTAATACAGAGTAATAGGGTTCTATCATTAACTCCATTATTTGTATAAAGGAACTCTGATATGATCCCTTGCATTTCATTCACCACCTTTGACCTTGCTTACTGTGAAAAAACATCAAGATCCCCTTTGCCTTTTTATAACAAATCTTGTATATTTCTCCTTCGATATATTGTCACACCATTTTATAATGCCGAAAGCTTGCTTTAACTGATTTGATTGGTGTGTTTTTTTAATAATTATAAGGTATTACTTAACAAATGCAACAATTAGTATTATATTGAACAACTTTAGTGATTTATAGACTTTTCTGACATTGATTTTTTTTCTATTGACAGATGTAAGAATCAAAACAAAGTTCTGGGGCAAATCCATGGAAATCCAGCCTCTCGGAATCGTGAATCTCTTCCTGCCAAAGTAAGTGTTCTTCAAGACAGGTTTCATAACTCACAATTTAGATATATTTTATTTGATAATGACACAATCGACCCATCCCCATTCTTCTGTGTTTAAGTGACTTACAGTGTATAATGTATTAATGATACAAATTTTATAATGGAAAATGAAAAAGTGTCCCCAAAAACACTCGACCGGTAATGGAACAGCTAGATTAGTGGTGGCCGGAGTAACACGGCTCCACTGTAGAACAGGAGCCATTGTTGATGATGTGATATGTGTACCTAAATCATTCAAGTTTACTTATGAAAAAATGGAATTGACAACATTGATTGGTGTTTATTGCTTCATTAGTTATCACAAACAAGTCTTGTTTTTACCTGACAGATTCAAAGACCACTATAAATGGAACAAAGTAACGACCTGCGTCCACAACCTTCTAGGTGGGCAGCGCTGGGTGGACCAGTATGGAGAGATGAAGATACGCAATGGGGACATCGTCTGTAAACTAACCTTCACAAAGGTCAGTTTTATCTGTTGAAATTTCACTAAATCAATGTTTAATTATAAATCAAGTTCAACAAATATAATTTTTTACTTTTTACTGGACTACAAACATCAGACATGTACCACAATATAGCAACTGGGTCATGATAGATGAATTCTGATGTTATCTTATTCTGCTGATGTGGAAGTCTTGAACTTAAAAATAAACATCAGCTTTGACAGAACTTGCATTAAAATGTCAATATCATGATGGAAAAAGAAAAATTGAAACTCTAAAAATGTCATTTTGAACCAATTTTGTGACAATAAACTGATGAACTAAAATTTGTCTTGAAACTAGCCAGTGAGTGTATCACTGAGGATTTTATTTATAACCTATTTCATCAAGACATCTAAATATTAATCTGCGTTTGTATGGATTTCCACTTCAGGCTAACCACTGGTCAGGTAAACGTCATGAGGTTTACGGACAGATTCTGGATCCAGAGGGCCATGTCGTTCATAACTTGTTTGGCAAGTGGAACGAAGCATTGTACTGTGGACATGCCCCCTCTACCAGATGTATATGGCGACCAGGTGAGTGTTCTCTCAATAACCACACAACCACTACCAGGTGTATATGGCGACCAGGTGAGTGTTCTCTCAATAACCACACAACCACTACCAGGTGTATATGGCGACCAGGTGAGTGTTCTCTCAATAACCACACAACCACTACCAGGTGTATATGGCGACCAGGTGAGTGTTCTATCAATAACCATGCCTCTCACCCACCAGGTGTATATGGTGATCAGGTGTATATGGTTTGGCTTAATTATAAGTCATTAGTCATTTAAGGACGTACCTCGATGCATGCTTGCTTGTGGGTATGCAGGAGATAGGGTATGTTGGTGTGCTTTCCTCCTTGTGATAGTGCGGATCTGATACCAACTTTATAGTGGTATCTCACTGAAACACCATGCCAAAGGCACCCAGCACAGCATTCCACCCGGTCACATTATACTGACAACTGGTGAACCAAATGTTTCCATTCCCCTAAAACTGAATATGGTAACCAGGTATATAAAACAAAAGTTTGAATTGTACAAATATTTGTAATTATGAATACACCGTAAACTGCCATAGTGGAAACTCATTTGATAGGTAAATGTTTTCTTAACTAAAAAATTCTTATGTCGACAATTCTGTATTAATTAAACTTTTCAATCAAAAATATATTTGATATCTATGGATTTCATTTAGATACTGAGGGAACATTCACTCTATCATCTTATAATGTTCATGTCTGCATTCTTAACAAATATTTAACTGCTTTTCAAAAATGATCCTTTCTCTTCAGTTTAAAATACAGTTGCCTAAAGAGAAAAGAAAAACCTTATTTCTCTACAAAACAATGATATTTATGTTGACCTTTCTCTAGGTGCAATGCCTGAAGACTTTGAACTCTACTATGGCTTCACCCGGTTCGCTATTGAGCTTAATGAGCCAGAGTCCGAACAGGAAAAGGTGCTGCCACCTACAGACTCACGATTCCGCCCTGATCAAAGGTATGATTTATCTCAACTTCGCCCAGAGCAAGTTTGTTTAACTTTTTTTTTTTTTTTTGATTTGACACTTTTTTATTTTCCTTTTTGCATAATATAATGACAATGACAACACAATTTTACAACGGGGTACAGGAATGCGAGAGAAAGTTTCAAATTGAACATATATTTGTTACACTCAGATTCTGCCTGTTTGTTTAACTCGGCCGATTTCTATTTTGGGGGGAGTGAGGTGACTTTATCTGAGAATAATGTCTTGTCCTGGTAACAGTAGTGTATAATTTCATATTAACATTTAGAACACTATAGCCTGCATGTTTATTTTCAAAAATTCTACAAGCCTGACCTATATTTGCATAGTAAATATTGTAAAATTTTACTAGTCCAGACATGATTTATTCTACTAGCACTGGGTGTCGAGCTAGTGAAGTTGTATACCCCAGTGGTGGCGAGAATAACTTCAAAGAAAAGAAAAAAATGTCACTTGGCTCTCCTTATATATGTGTCTTTCCCTTTTTTCTACCTTTCTGTGTGTCTGTTTGTCTGTCAGTTAAGTCCTGTTGTCATTCATCTGGGAATATCCTTGCAAGAAAATTATTTGTTTATCTGTATACCGATGTATGTTTGTCCCCGCAGTTCTTTCTGTTTCAAGCTGTTTTTCTGTCTATTCCTGCCATTTTGTTATTTAATATGTTTGTACCTTTTCTGAAATAATCATATGTTATGTGTTGACTGTTCGACAGATTATTAGAAGAAGGCAGAGTAGCAGATGCCGAAAAAGAAAAGTCGAGAGTGGAGCAACTGCAACGAGAAAAACGGAAAAAGCAAAATGGATCCAAATCAGAACCTCAGTCAAAGTGGTTCAGGTTTGTAGTGAAACCCTTATACTCTTTTTATGCCCCCGCCATAAAATGGGGAGGGGGGGGGGGGCATACAGTGTTGCAAATGTCCGTTCCGTCCCGTCTTGTCGCGTCCTTTCCCGTCCCATCTATGAGCGGGGGCATTTATGTCTAACAGACATTTTCTAGTTCTGTAATAGTCGTCCTACAAATGTAACTTTGTCTTTTATAGTTTTCATAGGATTTCAGATTTATTTGTCAAAATTTGAAATTAATGTTAGAATAATAACGTTGTTCAATTTTATTACATTAGTTTTTATGACTTTGCTGTTACCAAATTTCACCTGAAATGTATCACAAGATAGTCTTCATTGTGCTGATATTGATATTAATGTTGATATTGCCTCGTTTCAAAAATAATATAAATGTTGCCTGTCACACTTGGGAAAAAAAACATTAATGTATAAACATTTGCTAGAATTTAAAAGTAAGAATGAAACACTTGGCAAAATAAAGTCATTTTAAAAATATGAATTGGAGTTAATACCTAAAGCATTTGAATTGGAAATCGCCCTATACAGGGAAATATAAAGATATATTTCAGACCAATTGTCGCAAAAATATATTTTTGTTTAGAATCAGTCTCTTTCCAAATCAACTTAATGAAAATTTCTGACAAAGTTTCAAAAACATTTTAGTCAAAATTAAAACACTTTTAGTGCAGTTAAAAGACTGGGGGCTAAAAGAAGGGAAAACAACCGCAAAATGGAACTCCAAAATGAAACTGAAATACACTTCTGGAACTACAACTTAATTGATTCTGATAGAGTTCTAAGTGTAGTTTACATCGAGTTGTCTTAACTCAAACACTTCGAACGTCTGTACTTATTATTATTATTATTATTTTTCTTTTACAGAAAGTACACCGTATCAGGGAAGGATCATTACGAGTACACAGGAAAGTACTGGGAGATGAGGAGGGACCCAGGTTTCTCTAAACTAACATTTCCACAGATGTGGTAAAGCCACAACACACTCTTCCTGTGGCCTCTAAATGTGGACAGTTTCTACATACAACAAATATTTATTTGGTAGGCGAATGAAAAGAAAATTGTAATATATATGTGTGTATGTTTTATTTTTATTTTTGCACACGTACCAATCAACTTTTCAATCTTGATTTTCTTCCAGTTATCGTATTACAAGATTTTGAATACCTTGACTTTATTTTTGGAGGTAAAAATCAAGGCATCAAATGATCCTCAGGATTTGTTTTAAAATTTTAATAAGTCTTAGATTTCTTCCATCAACAATCAATTCTAAATGTTCATTTTGCAATGGTTTTAGAGTCCTATGTTCCAGATTATTTAAATATGTAGTTGTTTGCATGATGACTTTTATGTGTTTTATCTGAAATGTTGTTTTCAATACGGTAGCCACTTGTTACCTCTGTGCCTGTCAAACATACAAATGAACCAGATCATTTTGCCTTACAATTTCAAACATATGAATGATTCAGAAGAAAAAAAATGGAGGTAAAATAGTGAGGTTATCTCCTGAAATATCTGTTTATAAACTGTAATTTATAATTTTATTATGAGAGAGAAGGAAAAGTAAATAAACTAATTACTCAGAATAATATCTGGAAGATTTGGTCACATCTGCCCTTCTGTCATTTTGGATTCAAAATCATATGTTTGTGTACATTTAAAATCAAGCCCAGTGAACTCAACAACTCTCGTTGTTGTAAGTAACATTTCTTTTGATGTATTTATATTAAAGTCAATGTTGCTGGAGATTTAGAAATACAGTTTGCTATGAATCATACATTGTACAGTATATCCGTAATGCTGTGAAGAAATAGATGTAATTTTCAAGTGAAAATCCGAAAACGTATTCAAACTTACAGATATTTGGTTAACTGTAGGTTTTCTTAATATTGTATCATTGGAAAGAACGCTTTTTACGTCATGTTTTATTTCAAGAAAAAAACACAATATAGTATTGTTTGGTCAACTAACATTGGTCTGTTCCTGCAAGATTAAACATGTAGAACTTCATTTCTTGGTTATTCATTACATTTATATGATATTAAAAATATCCAAATTGGTTGGTATGCATAACAAAATTTGTTGTGTATTCAAGTTTGCTTAAGACATATTAATATGAAGATACTTTCACATTATCATATCATTTTACCAAAACAATGCAAACTGCAATATTTTTGTCTGCCAAATTTTTGCCCTCAGGCACTGGCCCTTTTGAAATGTATTTGGCCTGTTTTGAATTCACTTCTGTATATTGGCTGGGAAGTATCATGGTACTTCACAGTCATAGACATCAGTCCTTGTTCATTTCCCTACCTAAAGTTCTGTTGAAGAAAAAATGTGTTTTTGTAAGTGGGGTACTTCCTTTTATTTTAGTTTTATTTGAGGAAAATGTTTTCAAAGTTAAAGTTATATAAATACAGCATTACATGTAATTAGCATTTAACTTTATTGACGAAAAGCCTTTAAAAGTAGATTGCATTTCTATTTCCGAAGAAAGGAGAACAACAAAATAGCAGACTTGATCTATGCACACTTGGATTAGAATAAGTTTGATAGGGTCAAAATCAAAAGTCATTTTATAACTGCCTGCGTATATACTGACAAAGCGTATTGTTGTAGTAAAATAAATAAACAATTCTGTCCCGCTTAAAAAAAGGTTGTCTCAAATAAATGTATGAACATGTTATGTGTATGTAATTCTGAAGATGAGAATCTCAATATTTTGATCAGGACAGTCAATGATAATAAACCAATGCAAGGTATGAAGTCCGTCTCCATAACAATAGTACATTTAACAGATTTGAATGGTCACGTCTGAAAATGTTCCTTTGTAAAGCATGAATTTTGGAATATAAGCCCTGTTTTCATTATTTACATAGGACTGGACACTGGGGTGGGCTTATCTCCGCTAAAATAAACATGACAGAATGACCATCACATTGATAAGCGTGTATAATAAAAACAATATACCATGGGGACAGAAATGTGTAGTATATATTTCTATATTTATGTATGCACCATATAAAAAGTTACTGAAATATCACATTTCTTTTACTGTTTAATGTGTACACTTCCATTGATAAAGGAAATTTTCAGATATAAATAGTATATTACATTTTAAAAAAAATATGTAGTAATTCTAAATAATAATGTTGCACTCGTAGGTATTTTCTTGCAACTTTTACTCTGTATTTCTATTTCTTCCTATAGTGAGTCTACATTGTATGTAGACTTTCCTTGTGATACGCGATTCCAACGAAAGAAATTGAATGTTATTTAAGTGTAAGGGAGATAACTGAAATATATCACCTTATGTCTGTTTGTAAGCCAACACGCAAGTGCTATAATGATATACTGTGAAATCATAAATTTTCGTGGGACATTAAATTTCGTTTATTTCGTGGATAAAAAAAAATCACGAATTTAAATCCCCACGAAAAAATAAATTTGGTATGATATAGATAGGTGAAAATCAGAAAACATCGAAATATAATGTCATTGAAACAGGCTAGTATATGAAAACCACGAAAATTTAACCCCATGAAAATTAATGATTTTACAATAAATAGAATAATAATCCTCTGTAGAATAGGACTATTGCAGTGTGGTATTGTACTCATAGAGATGATTTCTGTCTTAGACAGTTATGTAGTATGTAATCATTTTTCCCTAATGATTCCTATAATCTTATTAGCTTCAATTTAAACATGTAATAATTTGTCCCCAATGATTCCCATATTCTTATATTAGCTTCAATATGATTCACAAATTGGAAATAAACCTGCATTCTGTGTCAAAACATTCTATAACCACAACATTTTAATCAATATTGACATCACTGCTGTGTGTCAGTTGTGTGTGTACAATTTTAATTCTGTTTAGCGGACCGACACAAGTTGCCTTCGAAGCAGGTAGTTGAACTCCCACCTACCCGTATAACAGGGATACAATGTTTTATGAGCACTAGCCACTCGTTCTCTTCACTTAATGCATATCCATGAATACTGTTAAACATTCAAGAAGTTTTTTCCCATTGGTGTTTGACTTTTTGTCCTTGAAAGAAGAGGGTAGAACATTTTGATAATTTCCAAATATCCTGACTGTTATTATAATGTTCATGGAAGATCAATTGCAGAAAGATTTCAAAGCTAATTAGCAAATTTGTGTATTCAAATATTCCTATTTATGTAAAACTGAACTTTCATAAAAATGCTGAAGACATCAATTACATATATCTGGTTTATATCTATACTTTTACATATATTAATTACCATTTAGGTGATAGTCAGTATGTACCTTTAAGTTAAGAATGGAGAAAAACCTAGTCAATACTTTATGTGACAATTGATAACGTTTTTTCTGGTAAATACAAAGCAAATGTTACATCTATCATAGTGTCTGTGACATTCAAAGAACTTATGAATTCATTTTGAAATTGCCAGTAAGAAAGTTACTTTGTTATATAAACACACAAAATATATGTCTCATAGAAACTAAAGTGAATGTCATGTCTCAGCTACATCAACTAACTTACTTGTTTAACGTATTTATTAGGCAATAAGCCCATATCTCAGGTAATAAGCGCAACCATGTCCTATTCAGTTCCGCGGTGGCCTAATGGTTAAGGCATCTAACATTCTGCTACCACTGGGTCGCGGGTTCGAGACCTACGTGGGGCAGTCGCCAGGTATTTCCCCATGGGGTTTTCCCCGGGAATTCCGGCTTTCTCCACCTAAAACCTGGCATGTGCTTAAATGACCAAAGCTGATAATAGGACTTAAAACACAACAAACCAAACCAAACAAATCAAACAGTAGAAGTGCTATTTTATTGTCCAGTAAGCCCATTTCCCTACTTTTAGTCAGAGATTATTTGCAGGCCCCCTTAGGGCTTATTGCAGGGTAAATAAGGTGTCTTCTGAGTTTCATTTCAACAGTGAAAAAAGTAGCTCTAACACTCTCTTTCCAGTTATGAAATATCAATGGAAAAATCAGCAGGGTCCGTCTTTATGAACTACAAGTGTTGTATTCAATGACAACAATTCTAATGTGTGGTTAATATAAGATGCTTTTGTCAGCATGATCCGTCAAGGGAGACTACTATATATATATATGTACATAATTTTTTTAAATACACACTGAAATGAAGTGTTTGTTATAAAATTAGTTTATCAAATTGTCACAAATATAATGTATATATATATATATGCAAATGACCTACAGCTGTGGTATTGTTATATAATCTTTTATTGTTATTTGAGTAATGCATTATACAGATTTGTATTCCAAATTTCAGTTGTATCACATTCCATTAGCTTGATAGTACAACAAATCCAATTATTCCCCCTAACCATGCATTTCACCCCTAGGTTACTTGGGTAGACTCTAGATGAGTCCATGATGGTTTACAGTTGTGAAAGGGTTAAATATGTCAAAAAATGTTTGTGTTTATTATCTTGGGTTTTCATTGCGAATCTATAATCCTCACAACGAAGTTAGGGAGGAACAGAGCGGACTGGATTAAGGTTGTCTGTTCCTCTGTGTCCAGACTACTTGTCCTGAAGTAGATTTCATTGAAACAGTTGAATGATTGATTTTTCATTTCAATACTTTCTACAGAGATAGGTATGCTTCTTTTTCGGAAAGAAAAAAAGATGAAAGAAACATGTCGGTACTTCATATCCTGATGTTCTGCCTAATTTCGATACACTTACAAGTTGTTAGCTATCCTACATTATCTCTCATTGCACTGGTTTTAGTTCATCTGTTACAAAAAGAGTCGTGGTGTGTATTTGTTAACCTACGACTTACCAGTCAAGATTGTTTCTGTTTCTGTAAGGGGGCTGCGGTGGCCAAGTGGATAAGGCGTCTGACATTCTCGTACCACTAGCCCTCCAACACTTGGTCGCGGGTTCGAGATCTACGTTGGGCAGTCGCCAGGTACTGGTCGCCATGCAGGTACTGGCCGTCGGTCGGTGGTTTTTCTCCTGGAACTCCAGCTTAAAACCTCCACCACCAAAACCTGGCACCTCCTTCAATAACCATAGCTATTAATAGGAGGTATTAAAACTGTTTCTGTAATTACGATACTTCCGCTAATTCAAGTTTTACTCCATTGTATTATTTAGCTAAAGAAATGTGACACATCTGAATTGACGCCCTGTGTTATTTTTCTTTGTTCTATTGAATCTATATGTGTTACTTGTTTTAAATCTTTTCTATTATTGCTGTGTGCTACCTTTCTAAAGGGAGATAATTCTCTTTTATACACTTCTCTGCGATATGTCATTTAGATTTCAAGATATTATTTTGACAAAAGACACATTCATTTTGTAGTCTGTTGGAGAAAATATTTTCATTTTTTTTCATGTCCAAATTATATGATAAAGAGAAGAAAGATATTATTTTCTTCGTCTAGCTTCAACGAGGTAGAAGTTTTACCGTAATAAATATATGTGTTTATATGTAATATTTGGGCTTTCACATATTGCTGTCATTGATGTGTTATACTTGTATGCTATTTAACCCTTTCACCCCTATGCTACTTGAGTAGACTCTACCATGCATTGATGTGGATGTGTCTATTATGGTCTACAGTGGTGAAAGGGTTAAGAAACATTTCCCAATTTATGCATTTTGTATGTAACAAATAGCCTGTTAGTTGTTGGTGTAATACCGCCCTATTGTGACCAGTAACCAGCCTGTTATTTTGGTACTATTTGAATTCACACAAAAAAGAAATTGAAAAGAAAAACTTTTTCTAAATGGAAATTGAAATTTGTATGGTGATTATAACAAATTGGATCCAAACTTTAAACTAGACTGTGTCCAAATGTGATACAACTTTACAATAATTGTACTACGTACATACTATACCTATGGAGTTACACAACTTCACAACTATTGTTCCTGTTGTCGATTGTTAGTAGGGGTAATCATAGCAACCATGTCTGATCTAGCGAAGAAAGTATATGATTGAATTTTAGAAATTGGACTGAAATAACATATGTGATGTTAGGATGTACATAAAATATCTGTATATATGTTTTTAGAAAAAAAATCAGCAATAGCTTGCATTTATAGCTGAATGACCCCTACAATGGCAATATATACCCTTCATTTTGTTTCATATCAAACTTTAACTAAATATACATCTTATACAGCTTGAATTTTTAAACATGATAATGTGACATTTTCAGATCAAAAAGATTGTTGATCTCGTTACCGAGCATTTTGTTAGTCCACATATCATTTAACTGTGATTTATAAAGACATTCAGTACTTGATTGAATATTACACTAGCTTAGGGACCAGAGGTCAGAGGTACACTAGCTTAGGGACCAGAGGTCAGATGGTTTTTATCATGTTAAAATTTGATATAATGCATTTCAACTAAGCATTTAGAATTTGAATTGAAATTAATTGTTAAACAATATTACACAAAGACATTGAAATGTAATTTAATATATATTTAAATGCTGGCCTCACTTTGACATTAATGAATTCATATCTCAACTTATACAAAGCAAATACGCCTTAGTTTATAATGTTTTATATATACATTTATATATACAGTGTATAAATAAAACAAAACACGAAGACTAGTATTTCTACGTCTTCGTCCCGTATCACATGTATTAAATAGCGATAAACAGTTTTAAATTTATAAATTTTAAACTATTTATCGCTTTATATATAGACATATACATTTTAAAAAAGAAACTGAGGAAGGTATACTAAATTATGAAATTGTAACGGATACCGGTCGCACTGAAAGGCCGTTATTTCCTATATACAGTAGCCTCCCTTTTACTTCCGTTAGGATATAACTGTAGCACATGTGGGCCAGGACTGTTACGTTGACCAGGTAGCACATTCAGTTAGAGCGTTAGCAGAACAATCTAAAGACAAGTGTTTGAATCCCATTCAGAACTCTCTTCTTAATTATTATATTTAGTTTATTTCATCTTCATTTGTTTTTTACAAAAGTCCCCGAAGGTATGGGTTTTTTTTCGGAAATAGTTTATCACAGCTATAGTCATACCAGAAAAAAGGGTCCAATACTTAGGTTACATTGGCATATCCCAGTTGAAACGGTACAGAAATATTTCGTGTTAAAGGAACGCACTTTGACCGTTCTATAATGCACAGTTTCGGAGAATAAATAACAATGTATCAAGAGCGTTATGTCCTTCATTCCACTGAATTACATAACCTATTGTTTTAGAAAGAAATAACGCAAACTGGCAATAGTCAGCATTTTAGTTTCAGCCAAGTAGTCTCCACACCTCGATCTACACATGCCGAATATTCCTGAGGTCAGCCTCCGTTCAGATCTACGCCTGTCGTTTTCTTAACAGGTTGAACGGGATGCGCCAAAGGGGCCTTAGTTACGTTTTTTGGCAGTGGTACGGGGAACGTTAAAACAAAGCCGGAGAAGTTTAGAATCCCATATGTTAGATATACACGTATTACCATATCAGTTAAGTTTGATTTAGTTATACTGGTCACTGCAATATGGCAACACGTCCGTGTTAGCTATACTATGACGTCATAAAGCATGACTGAGAGTGACTTTATGTTACCAGTTTTTAACAGAATTTTATAGCAATCTTTTAACAAATGTGTATTTATCTTTTATAATTTCCACTGACACCAAACCTCTACTTGTAATCAAACCTGCTGTTAATTGACTTAACTACCTGAGTCTAGTTTTTCAAAGCTCTGCTTAGATTATTGAAAATTAATTCGAAACATATAATGTTTTCAAAAATATTTGAAGTTACAAAACTGCATGAATTTATAAATGCAACGGAAACATCAGAAGATAACTGAAAAACGTTTTGAATTCAGATATTTTTTTTGACAAAATTTTATCTTACTATTTGGGTTGCATTGTTGAATAAGTGGAAATTGTGTCAAATTTCTTTAAACTGGTCAAATATGAACTGAAATACATGTATTCAAAATGTTTTCAACCAAATAAATCTTGCAGTATATTCGTCAGATAGTAAACATAACGTTCGGTTCATCTGAAATATTCTATTTTGTTATTTTTTGCATTTTTAATAACTCAAAATATATGCAATAAAGAAAGATGTAGTTTACTAAGTATTCTTTTCCTTTCCAAGTTAGAGGTTTGAAAGTAATTTGAGGAGTATTTGACATGTTTCCTGTATTCCGTCTTTGCGTATTGCAGAGTTATCTTCTCTTGGGAGCAGGTATTGATTGTTACATCATTGGTTTGAGTGAGAAAATTAGGTCGTTTTCTCAAAAATTGATGATATTACTCTCAAAAACAAGTGACGTAAAAATCAATACCTGCTCCCAAGAGAAGATAACTCTGCAATACGCAAAGACGGAATAATCTCCTTGAGTGTCTTCCCAGTGTTGTTCTGGACACAATACCATGGGTGATAGTCAGGTATGTGTGGTAACCATACTTAAACAGAGGTTTTATGACACTGCGTCATAACATACTTCTAAATTACGTCCACTTCAGTTTTATCATTTGCTGTTATATGTACCAATATGTTACTTTGGTGTTAAATTACAATCATGCCCTGTCTTGTACATCTAAGACTGTGGATGTGCTCAAAATAGGATCATTAGCCTTCTGTTTTGACCTGAAATATGAAAGATGAATACTGTTACCCTAGATTTGTACTCGAAACATTTATGGTTTACGTCGGCAGATCTGGAGAGTTCTTCAAGGAATAAATACAAAGTATACCGTAAAAACCCATGTAATTTGCGCACCTGTGTAATTTGCGCAGGTACTTTTTGAGGCTGAAAAAAGCTTCTACTCGAATATTTTGCGCACCCAAAAAATCTGGGGGCAAAACGATGTTCATGCTCCAAAAAATCGATCTCTGAATATTTTTAGGCCGAGTGGAAAGTAATACACTACGACTTTTCAGTTGACTTTCGGTTGTGACTGTTACAGAGATTTTTGAGATATTTAAGTGTAGTTTTACTTTCGGGTGTTTTGAGTCTTGCTGTGAAGGCATTTTCTTGTGTGAGTTACGATATTGTTTGTAGTGATGAGTTTTATTTGACAACGTAAAATCCTCCATCCTAGTCGAAAGACATTTAAGATTAATTAAAAGTTATGAGGTGTAGATAAATAATATCTACATGTATTTAAAGGTAAAAAAAAAAATAGAAACAAGAAAAATTGGCTTCCGTTTGATTTTTGCTCACTTCCGATGGCGAGGAGGCAAGTCAAAATGGTGACAAAAATTCTAATCGTTTAGATCAACCCCTGATAGGAATACCGGTACCTTGAAATGTAGTCGGTGGTGAAATTCACTGAAAGAGAAGCCCATTTATACTTTTGTTTTCAATATGTTCTGTTTTTATGTCTACACAAAGCTTACTCGAATATTATAACTAGAAATTTTATAGCTCGCCTTTTTGCCTGTTATGTTACAGCTGTATAGCTTGACAATTTGTTATTTTTGCTTTTAATTCATTGATATTACCGGTATAGTTACCATGCTTGTGCTTTTAAATGTTTTTTCTCCTATAAGCCTAAAATATGCATGACTATGATTAGATATTCTCTTTGCTCTGGTAATCTATCTTCTTAGGGAGAGGTATGCACGGTAATTCTGATAAAATTTCTTCGCAATATCCGGGTTGATTGTGTTCAGCCAACTTTGAAATTCTTAAAGCTTTTAACATACTTTCTTCATAAACTTTAAAATAATTATGTTTAGTGCACCTCAACACACTGTTTTGTTTGTAAGCACACAATGCTTGTAGGATATCAAACATGTTGTATTTATTAAAATGGAATATGCCCATATTTGTGACCTTTAGATAGAATATATCTTTACTGGTACACTTTTTCCAATGACTTTTTGGGGGAATGATCCTGTATTTCTTTTTATTTCTTGTCTTTATACAAGTGTATGCAACTTTTAAGATTTTTTTTATCAAAGTTTTGCTTCCCCTAGGATCCTTGCAAGAATTGTCAATTAAAAAATTACAGATTGTCCACCTTTAAAAAAAGCATATGTTCAATAACAAAACATCAGGAAGTTGTTTGAATAATTAATTTCATATTTGACTTTGAGACTTATGTTCAAATTTCTTTTCACATATTTCAGCTGAATTTCAGGAATGTCTTTCTGTTATGTAGTTTAGCTTACAAGTGTACATAAATCTTTGATTTAAATAGATATTTGCAAAATTAGTTATCATGTTATTGAATATGTTGATTTTAAGCTTATTTTGATTTGGACACAGATCAATATTATTATCCAAACAGTTCTATAAGAGCAGGAGTTGTTTTGAAGGCAAAAACATTTGATAGGTATGCAATTTAATTTCACAACTTGATTTCATGATGAAAATTTGAGGTTTACCAGTGTGAGATTTCATTCCATCATCAGACACTTTAAACGTGAAAAGAAATACCTGAAATCTCTACTTTCATTTTGCATGTAATTTACATCAATGTTTCACAGGCTGAAGGGAAAGTAATGTCTACTTTCACTTTACCTACATTTTACTGTGTAGTCATTGGGCAGTGAAAGCATTCACTTCTATAGTCACAACATGAATATCATCAGTAGTATATGCATTATGATTGATTCACTGAATAAAACAAAATGTTATGCAAGTAATTATCCTTCTTTATTGTATTTTGTCTGAAAGGAACAAAAACAACTGTCATCTGGATGATATTCTTCTCAAAACTGCTTGCCTAGTTTGGATTTGTCATACAGTTATGGTGGGGATTAGATTCTAGGCAATGACACTATCAATGAGCTGTTAGAAATACTGACCCATAACAAGTACACTTTGTACACACATCTTCTATCTCTGCTTCAAATTTATATACAAATGTACTAGTAAATATCAATGGCTAGAAAGAGCTTGTTACTGTGATATCTAGATAAATAAGTAAAGAGTTCAGTTAGTCAAATTAACTCATTCACCCCTGAAGACACATTTGAACTCTTCCAATACAAAGGTTGGAATAGCTCATTATGAAATTTCAGGGGTGAATGAGTTAAAAGGAGTCGTGTCTGCTGAAGTTTATCAGTATTTCAATTAGTAATACTTGCTTCAGGTTTGAATAACCAAAAGTACCAATTACCTTTAAATCCTATAATAAATTATTTCTTTACCTTTGGGGGTAATCTATGTGAACTTTTAACAAAAAGCAAATGTGAAAAAAAAAAAAAAAAGGAAGTTAGTTTTAAGCATCAAGTCACAAGGGCCTTGACCTCTAAATCTCCAAAATAAATATAGAGGAAAAAATAAATACGTAGACATAATAAAGGTTGCTTTAAAATGCCAATTCACAGAGATTTTGACATATGAACAACAAACTGAATAGGGCTCTTATGGAAAGAATGTGTTATAAAGTAAGAGCTTAAGTGATATTGACCTTTGAACCCAAACATCACTAGGATTCTTGGTCCTTACTTGAGTGAAGTGGTACTTGATTAATGTCCTAAAAACGAACCTGTCCGAAGATGGATGGTCAGAATGGTTTTATTTGAACCGGGTAGGCTTTCAATTATGATTGCATTAAAGTACCCCAGACCCTTGCAACCGTCTTCCTCTCTACAATAGGAAAGGGAAGAAGATAGACTGTTAGCCGGAGAATCCACTGGCCCTGACACCAAACATCTATCTGTAAAACTGTCTAAGTCTGCTGTCGGGGTCAGAGGTAGACTATGAACCACAGTATTGCCGATCGTCTTCAAACCCCCCAAAGGCATTTGTCAGGCCTGGCCCGAGATTAAGACTTGACGAATCACAATTCACGTCATAATGAGTGACGTCATACGTGAATGACTAAATAAAACATTCACTTTAACATTGTTTCATGATCCCGGGTCCATTCAGTCTAGGCGGAGTATGCTTAACACAGAAATCTAACCACATCACAGCATCTTCCTATTATATGACGTCATCAATAACAGGTCTTTGACGCAAACGCTGTGTTTGACACCTTTAACAATGACATTCTGAACTGCAAGCCGCTAACAAAATCAGACATGACCTTGCCGTTTCTGCCAACACTTCCATCACTACGCACAAATTATACTTGAACGATTTGTTGGGACAACTATTGGACCAAAGCTAGGAGCTGTAGGCTGTGCAGTGATGTACATCTCTAGTCGACCACTCACACGAATGACCACATCCTCGTAGTCTAAGGGTTCCGGGCACGATACACACACTTCCTTCGCATACCTGGAGTATGTTATGGCAAAATCGAAGGCAGCAGGCGGTTAGCAATTTGATTGGTTACAGATATAAAAATCTGACCAATCGCTAGGCTGATACCTGTCCCTTGAAGCAAAGCCAGTCAATTATACTGTTATACTGAAGCGAGATTCTAAAGATGTGCAAAGTGACTCGTGCAGCTCGATTTTGTCCTGACATATATTCCTGGGGTTACAAAGAAACATGTTAGTGTATGAGGGCGAATCTCTTATATTACAAAGGTGAGTGATGAATTTACATGTTAATACCAACCAAGTATGCTGTGTTAAAAGCTACATATAAAGGTCTATATAACAGATGCCCAGATTATGTTTCAAGCACGGGTGATATTCCCATTGTAGAAGAAGCGACTCATTTAGCAATACCTGGTATTCCACCATAAAAACCCAAACCATTCGGAACCAATACCTTCTTTAAATCGGCAATCCAGACCATACCACACAGAACAAGAGGCCCAATGGGCCTGAATCGCTCACCTGGTATTAATCTCACACTTGTAATCTTAAAAGTGGACTAAAATACAACTACAGGCAGAATATCAGTGTTTGATTAATAAGGACATATTAAAAGATTTAAACATATGACATTGAATGTCGAACAAGGACATTAGGTTGAACAGAGTTTATAGTCTTCCAACCCAGCATGCTTCTAACAAAATATCATTACCCTGGGCCTTTTGGTTATACAGAAAAAATCATTTAAAGATTTAAACATATATTGACCACTGTGACCTTGAATATAATTCAAGGTCATTCATTTGAACAAACTTGGTAGCCCTTCATCCCAGCATGTTACTGGCCAAATAGCATCACCCTAGCCATCTCAGTTATTCAGGAGAAGTTGTTTAAAGGTTTTAAACATATTTGACCCCTGTGACCTTGAATATAAGTCAAGGTCATTTATTTGAACAAACTTGGTAGCCATTCATCCTAACATGTTACTGGCCAAATATCACCCTAGGCCTCTTGGTTATTCATAAGAAGTTGTTTAAAGGTTT